AACTTCCTGAATGTTTTCTCGCAAGCGGCAAATTCACTTGCCTTGGTGCTTGACATTTCATGGCATGAAGAGTCAACTGGTTCGACATTTGATTGACCATGAAAACTAACATTAGATCTAGATACCGAATAAGATTATTATTTTTGGAGTTGGTGAGCACTTTTCTCATGTAGACAGCTTTCTAGACGTTTAAGTTTGTGTACGTTTATGGTAAGCCAAGCTTCTATAAGCTTACTTTTTTTAACACTACCATAGATCAGTAGACCGAGGGCTCGAAGAAAAAAATAGTTTGAATTTCAGCTTGTTCACTGGGCAAGCAGCTCCCAAATTTTACTTGTCCGGGGTGAGTTCTTACTTGTCTAAGTAAATGGGTTTGTTTTGTCTGGACTCTTGGCCAGAGATATGCTATAAAAGTTACTTGCCCCGAAGGAAAATCCACTTGTCCTGGATCACCGGAAGGGACTTGTTCGAGCCCCGACAATACATCAGTTAGCCTGTAAAAGGAAAAGACATGGATCTATAAAGAGAGGAGGATCTTAAAACAAAAACAACAACAAATTGCACACATTTACTGGATTTGTTCAGGAAACCATTACACACCCACCCCAGAAAAACTTGGAGCATGGAGAAATCCAGTGAGTAACCTGAGATCAGGCTCAATTTTCGTTTCGCTTTGTAATAACATTCCGGCGGGCAAGGCGAAACGAAAACAGACCAATTTTAGCGGTAGCCGTTAGAGAGAGTGTATGAGAATTGCTAAAATTGGGCCTGATGTCAGGTTATCCAGTGAGAAAGGGGATATATGTTGTGACAGACAGAATGGGAGGGGAGGGAGGGGGGGGAGGCATTGACAGAGTAGGTACATTTTGTGTCTCGTATTTTATGTGCAACAGAGACTTCTCTTTAATCATCAGATAATTATGCTGCACAAACCAAGCTAATGATTTGCAAGAGTGGTTAAGGCTCAACATTCCCAAGTATTACACAGAGAATTCTGAAATCATTTCTCTGAAGGCCTATTTTATGATTGCGGTTTGATCTTCAGGGCCCAGTTACTGAAAGGCCAATTAGCGCTAATCAGGGATTAAAATTTTGTTCCACTTTTGTGTCTTTACCTCTCGTGCATTGCTTAGAGTAACATTTTGTATTACTATTACTGTATCTCAGAGTCAAGGGTCAACAGTATTTTGCAAGCTTGAGTTACATGTTCTTAGACAAGAAAACCTTGCTCAAAATTTGGCTTAATCCTGGGTTAAAGGAAACTGCCACTCTTACTACAGAATAAGTTTAAATTGAATAAAATTATGTTGATAAACAAATTTGTTCGAAATTTGTCTTAAAAAAAGTGTTTATATCAGGAAAAGTGAATTTTAAAATCGCTTATTTTCACTTTCAAATTTCGCAGGCGCCGCCATCTTGAATAATTGTGACGTGTTACGGTTGCTCTATTGTTCTGACACAAAGAGCTTTTGTTTAATAACAATAGGGCAACCATTACATGTCACAATTATTCAAGATGGCGACGCCCGCAAAATTTGAAAACAAAAATAGGCGAATCTAAAAGTTATTTCTTTCGGATACAAACGCTTTCTTTAAAAATATTTTAGATTGACTTGACTGTAACAGTTATTTCCTGTGATTTAAAGTTATCTTTTTGTTGAAGTGGAGGTTCCCTTTAAATTGAACCATCTTTTGAGGAACCAGGCCCAGACTGGTTACTGTAAGCCGGTGGGAAAAAAAAATCAGAGAATAAGTAAAAACCCAGGACCATTTTTGATAAGCCCTTTTTTTCAGAAAACAGTAATACCCCCACCACCACCACCTACACCACTTAGTATACAATAGATTAAAGGGAACTGTTTCACAGTTTTTTTGCATAATTGCTTTAAAACATTGAGATCAAAGTAACGACCAAAAATAATAATTATTTATTTAGTAATTACCCTAAATAACATTTCTACATTTCTTCGCTAATGTAGTGACCAAGATGGAAGTGCAGTGGATTCGGCATTCCAACTGCTAAAAAACTGGGCCAATTTTGCTTTCCCTTCAATATAATTACTTGATATCTTCAATTTCAGCTTTGTTTTATCTCAGCGATGACTGTCTACCCTTGTATCAGAAATAATATTTTCTAACTTTCTAAAATTGTCTTGCAGTTTTCTAAATTAATGAAGAGAATGAACACAATAGAGGGTACAAGTCATGAGAAAAAATATACTGACCACTTTACCTTTTCATAGGATATCATGGTAAGTGCCAGCCATTTATTAATGTATCTAACACATTGACTGAGTTAGCGTCCCAACAGTTCTTCACTCACCCCGGAATCAAACTTCTCCCTTTAGTGTCCCCAATTAGTACTGTAATGTACTAGAATTTTATGACACTTAAATAAAGGTTTCATCATCATCATCATCATCATCTCATGATCATAACTTTTTCTTAATTATCACCTAATATTGCTAGTTGTGTGAAATAATTTTTGATTCCTCGCTATCAAATAACCAGTTCCCAGATTCTGAAAAAAAAAAAAAAAATGGACAGATTATTCTTTTCACATTTCAGGCCGGCCTAAATTGTCTGCACTGCTGGCTCAGGAATGATAATTTTAGACTCACGGCTGTCATAGGGCCGGGGGCCGGGGATTTTCTGGGCTATTATGAATGTTACCCCTGCCGTAGCTTTTAGGAAAATACTGAAGAAAAATATACAACCAAACAAAATCCATAGATGTTTGATTCCCCACCTACTTGTATCATTAGCCTAGCAAACTGAAATTTTAATGACAGTTCTGTAGACTGCTATAAGATGATTTCAAAATCTCTTCAAAAAAGACTGATTTTAAGACATACAGGTCTGAGTTTAAATCAGTCTTACTATGAGCCTGAAACTCTTTAAGTATACCCATCATAATCTATCTACTCCTTCTTCCTGTTTTATTCAGGGAAAAACTATATTAAGCACCCCTCCAGTGGAGGAATACTCCCAATGAAATTATGACAGACCTGGTTGTTCAACGTACCTTTGACCAGGGGGAGGAGGGAGGGGGAATTATTATTTTGTGGATTGGTACCCTAGGTGCAGAACTCAGTATTCCAAGTGACGGGTATGATTAAGGGATTTTTAGGTTTCATATTTTCCATTCCAGTATACATTTGTGTGGCTTGACTTAAATGGGGGAGATTCATAGATAAAGTGCCCAATTGTATTACTGCAGCATAACTCTTATAACAGTTATGCTAGTTTTAATAACCAAACTTGTTTTGTAGTTGTTTCTATATAATTATAATAGTTATTTTAACACATTACACACGAATGAAATATCAGGTGAGCTTTTGCTCAATCATATGATATCTTCAAAAGTGAAGATAACATGTTATTTTCACATGAAAGACCACCTTAAATGCTATGGCTACATAATAAATTGCACCTTTCACAGCAAAAAATATTAACGTGAAATGGTGTGGTGTGTGATTGATGTTTGTATAAAAAATAGAACATTACATGACCACTTGGAGATACGCAATTTCTCTTCTCATATTGAAAAATATTTTTCAATGCTTGAAGAGAAATTTCATCTCACCGCGTGACCTTGTAATATTATCTATGTATTTCAAACCAAATGTTTTATAAAGCAAGTTATATCATACTTCTGAAGTGTCCCAACATGTATCCAGTTAATCGAGAACTTAGCCATTGTGTTCATCACACACCTGGATTTATCATTGAAGGGAATCCCCTTTGCTGTTGTCAATTCACAGGGGAATTTTTTTGGCGGGGTAGGGATTTTGGAGGGTTTTGATTTTACCTCCATTATTTAACCTTTACCTTTAATCTCGTTACCAGATCTCACCAGGTTTACATTGAGAAGTTGGCCAAGGGAGATCTGGGACACTGGGTCAAGACTACCAGTTCTGGTACACTCCTGTCATTTGGAATCTGAGGGAATCCCACCAGGGAATTAGCCCAGCTTAGGGAGGTTCTTAATAAAAATTACACTATGACCTTTTTTATCTTTACAAGGTATTTTACAAGGAACCAGCTTTCATTAACTGTATCCCACATCATGATATAGAGGCTGGAAACATTAACTATGTCAAATTCCGTTTTTTTTTAAGTACAGGAAAATCAACGATGCGAGGATACATTTTAATTTCAATTTCACAAGGATAATGACTCCTTGATTTTCTCCTTTTTTTGCGTTACACGCAAAAGCCCTGAACACAGGGATGTCTGGAAGGGTATTTTCGGGATCAGGGATTTGGCCAAAATACGGTGCGGGATTCGGGTAGACTCAAAAAATCTTAACGGGAAATGGGATCTGACTGTTACCTGGGAAGCGGTATTCACCGAAATTTGGGCATAGGATGCGGGATATTTTTTGCTCCTCTGTCGGGAAATCGGGAAATCGTACGTTCTAACGGCAAATGCCTAACAACCAGGCGAGCTTTGAGTGGTACCTCCTCTCCTCTCCTATCCTTTGATGTGAAACTGATGTAAAACATCGTATATTGTCCCGCACCACACTCATGTCATGATCACTACCAAGTGAAGTAAGTGTAGTGGCCGTAGTAAGTGTACTAGCTATGGCAAGTGTAGTAGTTGTAGTGTAGTAATTGTGGTAGCTGTAGTAAGTACTCACCCATCGATATATCCTTTCTCCCTCTTCGTTTCTGCCGCTTTCTCTCCCCCCCTCCCCTTCGTAATAAAAATATCAATTGAAACGGCTAATATACTTGTTACGTTTAAATCTTTTGCAGCAATTAGTCTTTTTTAACTTATGTGTTTTGGAAACAAAAAACGGGATTCGGGAAAGCGATAAATAGGAGTGCGGGATGCGGTATTTTCGTGAAAAAGGAGCGGAAATGTGAGAACAGGATACCCCCTCCCCAGACCCCGAACACAGTGACATGGAGAATGTAAAAATACTTGGTTATTGCTTTTGCTTATGTGGTGGCTCCTAAAAGAGCCGTTTGTTTGTAAAGAAGTATCGCACTTTACTTCTTGGCGGTTTTTTTGGCGGCAGTTTTCTTGGCGGGCTTTTTGGCTGCAGGCTTCTTTGTCTTCTTTCCTGTAGCTTTTTTGACGGCTGGTTTCTTTGCTGCAGTCTTTTTCGGTGTCGATTTCTTACTGGGCTTTTTAACTGCTGTTTTCTTGGCTGGCTTCTTTTTAGCCGCTGGTTTCTTCGCCGCTGGCTTTTTAGCCGCTGGTTTCTTTGCTACCTTCTTGGCGGCGGGCTTCTTTGGCTTCTTCGCTGCTTTCTTCGGAGCCTTCTTTTCCTCCTTGGGCACCTTGAAGGAACCAGAAGCGCCAACTCCTTTGGTGTGTACTAACTTTCCACCAGTAACTCCTCTCTTGAGAGCCGTCTTCAAGTGTGGGCCAACCTCGCCAACCTTGTAGTTGGCTTTGATGTACTTCTCGATGGCTTGGCGCGAAGATCCGCCTCGCTCTTTCAGAGCTACAATAGCAGCTTTGATCATCTCACTGTACGGTGGATGATCAGCTGGCTTTTTAGGCTTAGATGACTTCTTTTTAGCCGGTGACTTTGCTTGTGCTGCTTCAGACATGACGGAGTTTGAACGATACCTTCGGATACGAAAGAACTGATGCTTCGGATGCTGTTAGCTGATGTAAATTACTTGTATGCGGACCACTGAGGAGACAGCAAACGAACATGGCGCCCGATTCTTCTGTGCTAGTTTTCTTTGGGTTTTGTCAAATAAAGTGATGTAACAGAAAAATTAATCGCTTCTAAAATTCAAAAATTGAACGTTAAGTCTTTGAAGAACTGATTACCTTAAATAAGTGCGAGGTAAGGCAAGTATAAGAAATAATAAATGACCTTTTATCCTTCCCCTTCGGTCAATTTTGAAACAATTTTATCTTTTAAGTCGTATAACTGTTGCTCCTGCGACCTTTTTTCTGTATAGAAACATTTGGGAGATAGGAGAACTATTACACTTCAAGTCTCTTGCTATAATCTTCACATTATCTCTAATTTAACTTGGTTTCAACTCTCTTTTGTCATCGTAACAAGGACAAAGTCGCTTGCATCCATTCGCAAGGGAGAGAAGTCGAGAGAAGGCTATTACGATCCCGGAGTACGATGAGCTGGTGCTTATCAAATCCAGGGAATTTCATTTTCGTCTGAACGTTTCAACTGTTTGCCGATAAACAGGACCGAGTTTGAGAGCATTTCAACAAGACTAAACTTCATAAGTTGTTGAAAGTCAGGCTGAGTGTCTAAATGGTCGGCAGGCGGTCAAGATTTTCGAGATCTGATTAACTGTCGGTAATTTTTTTAGTGAGTCACTAGCAAAATCACCGACGGTTCGATGTGCATTTAACTAAGGTATATCAAAATTTCCTTCCACTGGTAGATGCAGCGATCTTATGTTAGTAGACAGTGAATATAGATGTTCGTATTATGTTGGAACCATTTTGTGTTTCAAAAAATGAGCGGCAGTCGGCTGTTAAAATATTGTTAGAACTGAAAGGTCAGTTTTTAGTCATGGAGATAAGGTTAACCTTCCTTCTGATTTACTTTTATGACTGGAACATTTTATATTTATTGAGCCATGTTGTGATCATATTTTCTGAGGGGTTGGCGGCTGTACCGACGGTAGAGATTTTTAAAAAAGAAAGAGCGCCTCATTCACTAGCTATTTTTTAAATCCTGTGGTTTCCGTTTTTATGGATATGTTTTTCCTGAGAATATTCAGACAACTTTGTAGTGTTTTTACAGATTTGATTCACTAACCAATTTCATGCGCATAAAACTAAATGTCCTAAATGAATCGCGCGTTCAACTGGGAGAATTCATTGGCAGGGAACAAAAAAAGGTAAAGTAGCTTTTTTCGCATCATTTGTTACCAAGTTAAACCGATAAAACATTTGTATCATTTTCGTTGATTTCTGCCTTCTAAGTTCCTTACTTAAAAATTCTTGTCACAAAAATATCTCACTCATTCTTGGAGCTGCGAAAACCGTTTGGCTTGTTATAAGAAAGAAAATTTTAGACCTTCGACTCGCCATAGCTTTTGTGCCTAAAGGAGTGGAAACATGGAAGGACACAAAATTCATTTCTGTTGGTTATTGCTTTTATTGATGTGGTGGCTCCTAAAAGAGCCGTTTGTGTTGTAAGTATTGGAAGCAATCGACTTATGCACGCTCTCCGCGGATTCGGCGGGCCAACTGAATGTCTTTGGGCATGATGGTGACACGCTTGGCGTGGATGGCGCACAAGTTGGTGTCTTCAAACAGACCAACGAGATAGGCCTCGCTTGCTTCTTGAAGAGCCATCACAGCAGAGCTCTGGAAACGCAGATCGGTCTTGAAGTCTTGAGCGATTTCTCGCACAAGACGCTGGAAGGGCAGCTTGCGGATTAGCAGCTCGGTGGATTTCTGATAACGACGAATTTCACGAAGAGCCACTGTACCAGGCCTGTAACGATGAGGTTTCTTGACTCCTCCAGTGGCAGGCGCGCTCTTACGAGCTGCCTTTGTGGCGAGCTGTTTTCGTGGAGCTTTTCCACCAGTTGATTTACGGGCAGTTTGCTTTGTACGTGCCATTTCTGCTAACTCAAAAGTCAACGAATAATTTTTCGACGGTAATCCCAAATACTTTATTCTTAGCGCGCTATTTCCTGATTGGTTATAAACTATGCAATTTCATTGGATAACCAAAACTGCTTGCAAAATAGTCTCATGATCTGGGATTGCATTTCGATCCTGTATGCCACTTAAGGTTTTTTATTCATGGGAAACAATAATTTGTTAGCTTTCGTTCTTAGTTGTTAGAAAATATCTTCATAAGATTCGTCGAGGAGTTAGGTCGCACGTTTGTTAGTGATAATGTGAAGTTTTTGCTCCTCTAACATGTTCGGTCTTGTCTGGTGAGGCAATAGATGGTAATGATTATCTTGACCTCATGGCTCTTTTGTTTCTATCCACCAATGGCGAACAACTATAGCTAATTACACTTCTTTTAGCCTGTTTCCCGTGAGGTCATTGTTTGTGGTATAAAAACAAGAATTCTCAAGGTTTGAGTCATTATCCTGTTTCAAGATAGAACATCAACATGTCTGGTCGCGGTAAAGGAGGCAAAGGTCTAGGAAAAGGAGGCGCTAAGCGTCACCGAAAGATTCTTCGTGACAACATCCAAGGCATCACCAAGCCTGCCATCCGTCGTCTTGCTCGCCGTGGCGGTGTCAAGCGAATCTCTGGCCTCATCTACGAAGAGACTCGTGGTGTTCTCAAAGTTTTCTTGGAGAATGTGATCCGTGATGCCGTTACCTACACCGAGCACGCCAAACGCAAGACTGTGACCGCCATGGATGTGGTGTACGCTCTCAAACGCCAAGGACGTACTCTGTACGGATTTGGCGGTTAGATCTTTGCGTTACCCACCCAAACAAACGGCTCTTTTAGGAGCCACCAAATCTTTAAAAGTCATAGCCAATAAAGTGATATTACTCTCGTATTTAATGTACACCGCGCGTGGGGTTTCCCGTTGAAGAAAAGACAGTCAGTAATATTATTTTTATTTTTGTATGATGTCGTTGTAGAGGTTCTAGCAAAGATGCGTTTTTGCCACAAAGCAATCAACTGTATAACGGACGCTCGTTGAGGCATTGAGACAAAAGAAAAACAAATTGCGCGCCGGCGTCGTTATAAACTGAACAGATTTGCATTTGATGTAACGCGGTGATCTATGAGACAGTTTGGAAAATCCACCGCCATTTATAGATGCACATATTGGAACTTTACTATTTATATGTATTTCACATATTTTACTGATCTTTTTCGCAGTGCGCGCCTAATTTCTACTCCTCTCTAAAATGTCAAAATATTGCCGTTTCATGGGTGGTTTATTTTCCCCTTCTGTATAAAGTACCCAAAACACCACGCACTAATCAACGTCTAAACCCAGAAACTTTATTGGTTAATTCTTCCGTGGAATTCAAGACCCACTTAAAGGGGCTATGTCAGCTGGAGAGCATGCGCTCTGAGGTTATGCAAATAACTTTCAACTGTCAAAATTCTATTGTTTTTAACGCGTGACTTTCTCCATGTGCGCTGTGAGGTTATGCAAATTACTTTCAACTGTCAAAATTCTATTGTTTTTAACGCGTGACTTTCTTCATGTTCTCTGTCACGTCCAAGGTTCCGAATTTAGAGAGGTTTAGCGAAATGGGTTTAGATAAGGGATATTTCGATAGAATTTATGGAACGTTTCTTCTCTGGTTATGCTAAATCAAGAATAAAATTGCGGCGACAATTTTACTTGTAGTTTTGAAGTAAAAACGCATGCCATTCATAAAATAGAGCGCAAACAAAAATTCAACAACAACATATTGTCTTATTCAACAAAATAAATGGAAGTTGTATTTTACAAACGAGCTACAAAAGACGCTAGACCGAAGATAAAGACCAAGACTGTTTCAAATCATTAACAATTAGACTTGTCTGTCGCTATTGATTTTATAATTTAGATGCTGATAGAACAAGAGACCAAGTCTTTGTTTTGATCTTAGGGAAACATACATTATCGCGCAAAATTGTTCAATCGTGCCGAATCACTGCGACGTCGAGAAAAACAGAACCCAGCATCATTGGTATACTACTCCACTATAAGCAGTCCGTTGATAAAAAGGGAAAGCAAACTCTGCTATTTTCCAAAATTATGCTCCAACACAAACAGTTCAAAAACATGGCATTTACAGGATCTAACTCGTACTAAGGTGCCTCTCTAAGTCCGTTGAGAACAATCTGGACGAGCAAACGGTCGTGCTTATCTTTGCCGTGAATCGAGATAAATACAAGAAGGAATCTAGCCGAATTTTAGAATGTTTCCTTCGCCAGGAGTTTAGTTTCGTCACGAAACTCGTCATGGCCTGATGCTCTTGTAATCGTTTACAAAAAACGGCCGCCGCCAACTCGATAGCCGCTTCATTATATGTCCACATACTTTGAGCACAAGAAAAATCCAAGAGCCAGCAGCCTCTAAAATAACTCAATAGAAAGGTCCTGTGAACTATAGGGAAGATTCCATCAAAGATTCCATCACTCATTGTGGAGTAGCCGTCATTAACTCTGCCATTACAACGGCCGCTGATAAGAGAACACAGTAAATCCACGTAAAAACATTCCACAGGCAAACAATTTTAAAATAACGCCAAAAAATTGTTCTGTAATCACCATAGAATGATTCTTAATACAAAACTTCGCTAACTATCGAACGATGGCTGAGATTTAGACAGATAAAAACAGCCTTCCAAAATCTCCGACACAACTTGAAAAAGTTGGGCTGTCTTTTTCAAGTTTGTTTTCATTGGCTTGCGCATGCGTGTTGGGTGACATAGCCTCTTTAAGAAATCAAAGCTTTCTGTTTTGATAAATGGAGTTTTAACCGTAAGTTATAAGGATTATCATGCAAGTTGAATCAGGGGTTACTTTCTGGCTTCACTGACTTATTCAGAGAAGAATAAATCAACAAATTGGTTGATGTGTTTTTCTTTTTATGGTCATGACTTTTTTATATGTGGTGGCTCCTAAAAGAGCCGTTTGTTTTAACGCCGCGTAGGACTGTTTAGGCTTTTATCTTCTTCTCGGTCTTCTTGGGCAGAAGAACAGCCTGGATGTTGGGCAGAACACCTCCTTGAGCGATGGTGACGCCGGCGAGCAGTTTGTTCAACTCTTCATCGTTGCGGACAGCAAGCTGAAGGTGACGGGGAATGATTCTGGTTTTCTTGTTGTCACGAGCAGCATTGCCCGCCAACTCGAGGATCTCAGCGCTTAAATACTCGAGCACCGCAGCCAAGTAGACTGGAGCACCAGCGCCAACACGCTCAGCATAGTTGCCTTTGCGAAGAAGACGGTGGATACGTCCCACAGGGAACTGAAGTCCTGCTCGGGATGATCGGCTTTTGGACTTGGTGCCCTTTGCCTTTCCTTTACCGCGACCGGACATGTTTTGAAAATAACCGTTTAATAGCTCGATAATGTTCGAGTGAATGAACTGAACTTACAAACCTTAGAGTTTATACGCGCGGTAAAATTTGAATGGGATCGAAACGCACCAATCAGACTTAAAAAGTGTCTAATGAAATATGATGATGTATACAGGAAGCATATTGACCTTGAAATAAAGCAACCAATTAAAACTCAACGATTTCGATCCGTATGTTAATTGATCCCCTAATGGTTTTCATATAAACAGAATCTGGGTCAACTCATTGCATTCACTTCCATTCTGATCGACAGACATGGCACCCAAAGTTGCAGGAAAGAAAGGCGAGAAGAGAGCTGGAAAGGCAAAGGCTCCATCTGATGGAAAGAAGAAGAGGAGGGGAAAGAGAAAGGAAAGCTATGCCATCTACATCTACAAGGTGTTGAAGCAAGTTCACCCTGACACTGGTATCTCCAGCAAAGCCATGGGCATCATGAACTCGTTTGTCAACGACATCTTCGAGCGCATCGCCACCGAAGCTTCCCGCCTTGCCCACTACAACAAGAAATCAACCATCAGTTCTCGTGAGATCCAGACCGCTATCAGGTTGCTTTTGCCCGGTGAACTGGCCAAACACGCTGTCAGTGAAGGAACCAAGGCTGTGACCAAATACACCAGCAGCAAGTAAACTCACTTTGTGAGTTTACCGCCAAAACAAAACGGCTCTTTTAGGAGCCACCAAATGTCATAAAATTCATGACCAAATTCAATGATATTATCTTAATTCCCGCCCCTAGTAGCCTGTTCACTGACTATCTATTTTCTCTTAAAAGTCCGTCGAGCGCTCGTGATAAAAATAAAACCCTTTGTCCAAAAGTTGGCTCCTCTATTAAAGCGACGAATAACCGTAACGAACATTTTTCAAACTCTACATAAATCAATCACTTAGTGATTCTAAATCAGTGATAAGCAAATCTTTAAGAATTTCAGTAATTTTAAAATATCACAGTAAAGGATGACACTTTTAGAAATAATTCGAAAATGCTATATTTGCAATGGTATGGTAAGCTTATAAACTTTATTCGCCGCGTGACACTGTGTATACACCGAAGTCTTGTATAGCGTTTTCCTAGGGGTGAGGGGAGAGTTTGTTGTGTGTCAGTCAACTTTTCGGCTCTCACGCCTCGCGTTAAACTGCGTCTTACGTGAATCTGCGTGTCCGACTTGAGGTTTCATTCCCTGACTTAGACTGCAAAACAGTCGGTTTTTTTCTCAAAATCAGTAAAGAAATCGGTAAAGCGTGGCGTACGGAGTCTTACGCGCGCGAAATGCGCGAGTCTCTCTCTCTCGCTCTCTGTTTTCATCCTCGTTCCAGACTTTCCAAACCTTTTGTTTGGCTGCTCGCGCGTACTTGAATACACAAAAATACGGACTGTTTTGCAGTCTACTGACTTTAAGATTTAAATCTTCTCAATCACATCTTATTCTTACCTATGAATTGCGCTGCTTCATTCCATGCCTTAGCGTCCTTAGCTTTTGTTCAGGAAACACGGACTAGTAGGGCTGAGGGGGATTTAGTCCCCCCATTTTTTCACACATTTTTTATATGACATCGGATGATCAGTTGCTTTTTAAAGCATTTAACAAGAAAAATTAAACTAAAGCATGTAATTCAACGTTTCGGTGTTTCTAACATCATTACAGTCAAACCCCGCTGTATTGACACCCGCTTACACCTCATTATTACGGACAGTTTTCTTTATCGCTGGGGTAAGAAAGCCCTTACATTTTCTCTAAATTCAACTCGCTTAATACGGACACCTCATTATTACGGACAGTTTTCTTTATCGCTGGGGTAAGAAAGCCCTTACATTTTCTCTAAATTCAACTCGCTTAATACGGACACCTCATTATTACGGACAGTTTTCTTTATCGCTGGGGTAAGAAAGCCCTTACATTTTCTCTAAATTCAACTCGCTTAATACGGACACCTCATTATTACGGACAGTTTTCTTTATCGCTGGGGTAAGAAAGCCCTTACATTTTCTCTAAATTCAACTCGCTTAATACGGACACCTCATTATTACGGACAGTTTTCTTTATCGCTGGGGTAAGAAAGCCCTTACATTTTCTCTAAATTCAAGCCGCTTAATACGGACACCTCATTATTACGGACAGTTTTCTTTATCGCTGGGGTAAGAAAGCCCTTACATTTTCTCTAAATTCAACTCGCTTAATACGGACACCTCATTATTACGGACAGTTTTCTTTATCGCTGGGGTAAGAAAGCCCTTACATTTTCTCTAAATTCAAGCCGCTTAACAGGGACACCCCTTCAACACGGACACCTTCTAGAGGTTTGGATAAATTAGATAGCATTCGTGCATGCTTAATTATTATGCAAATGTACCAATAGAGAAACTTCGCGCGACTGGGTCTGATTGCTCGTTTAACGCCTGGGAGGGGGGGAGGTGGGTACTCCCTTATATAAGCTATATACGTATGTGCCGCCCCATCGGGTAGGGTTTTTGTGCCGTTTTGGTCTGAAAACGGGTATATACTTTGCCCATTTTGGTCTGGAATCGGGTTGGGTTTTTGAGGGATCTACGGGAGTGTATGAACGGGTTTATCGTTTCAATTCCAAAGGGAGTAAGAAAGAAAGAGAAAATAGGCGAATTCGAAATGGATTTGAAGAATTTTTTTGTTTGTGCTCTAATCTAAGGAATGATAATATAATTTGTGCCTAAAGGACAGATCTGACAAAAACGGGTATGGATGTCACGGTCTGGCCTGAAAACGGGTGTGGAAAATTACATTTTTTGGCCTGAAACAGGGTCAGGATTCGGAGAACCGGGCGGCACACCCCCACAAAGAATTGCCAGTGGTACCCTCCGGGTTGAGGTCCTGTATAAACAGTATTTCGTAGACAGGGCATTCAAATTTATTCTTGCACTTTCTGAGGACCGAAAAATTATCCGTGAGGGTTGGTTTCTCGACCCCATGTTGCTTTAAGTGTCTCCAGATCGACGAAATTGAGGGTGTGTTTTCGCTGATGCGGTGATATGTTATAGGTGTCTATTAGTGAAACCGACATAGTCTATATTAATTGACCACTGTTTGAATTGCTCATTTACGGAGAACATAATCGAATCCTATCGATTAATATCGGAAATCGATATTCATCTATGATTGATATCGGTTACTATTGATTATTTTATCGAGTATCGGTTTATCTGTTAACCACGTCAGGAAGTAAGAGACATCCCTACTGAAGCACAAAGGAACCGAAACGGAAGATAGTAAACGAGCAATGCATTGTATCTGGCTCACGCATTTTTGAGAGACACAGAATACTTTAAGACGCAGAGATCGCACTCAAAAGATTTAAAATGTGTAACGGATGAATGCCAAATCATCTTTGAATCCTCCATGGGCCCGCTAATCCTATCAATACGGCAGAAACTGGATAAACAAAATCTCTGCCGTTTATTTTTCATGTGCTACAATGTTTTCGTACGTGCTTTAATAATATATGTAAAATAAACCAAATGTTTTCCATTGATTACTAATGTACTTCAGAGTATACAACTGAAATAGTGTTTAAAAAACCAACAAACACACAAACTAATCGAAAACAAAGAAGCTGGTCTGAATTCTTGTCAGACTCTACATCTTTTCCCGCTAAGGTTGCATTTTCGCTTTTTTTTGTTCTGTTTTGTACCTGTTTATAAGTATTGTGTACCTACATCGATAAATCAGCGCTGAAAAAAATGATTCACTCTTCCCTTGTTGACAGTTTTATAAGTTTTCTTTGGTTTAAAAAGTCCCCAAGGCCTTTAAATCCTCGGGCCCTTGCCACAATTATTCTCACTGACCCTATTTTTAATATTTGCCTAAACTTCAATCTTTTACTATTTGTTATCTCCTTTCGCTATGATTTTTTCAAGTCTATTAGATCAAGTATACATCGTAGTTTGAAAAGAAGGAAACTTTTTGATCGGAGGGGTTCAAACCTATGCTCACGGTTAAGGACGGTTAAGGAAGGCTGATTATCCAGCTCATAATCTCCACCCTTTCTTCCTTGCTGACCGTGATAAGTTATTTTCTGATAAACGTTCGGGTTAATTTTGAAGGTTAATAATTTCAATCATTAAATTACAAAAAGTGTTTCTGGTCTGATGTATGTGCTGTATGGGGTAGGGGGGTTTACGGACCCACGGACCCCTGGATCAGCCACTGCCTAATCGGCTCTTGCCACTGCTACCCCGTGACTAGCACCTAGTAACCAGGCCGGCAACCAGCATTCCCACAGTCTGAAATGAAAATCGGTTCAGAAGGCCCCAGTCACCTTACTAAAGCCTTCCTGTCAGCTTAAGTAAACCTTATATAATTCCTTAAATACAACTCGGAGGACCATTTGCATAGAATGTCAGTCTAAGTGTTTTCCTAAACAATATTCGTGTGGTTCTCCCGAGATATCGTACTTGTTTTTGGTTTGGTCTGGTTTTGATAAGAAATATAGTTGTCAGAAACGAGATTCATCCTCTAAATTTACGGTTTCTCACAAAGTTCCACAATAACTGCTGACTCCAAATAAATCTTGTCTACTCCAACAGCTTCAACATCGTTCGCCAGCCATTGGCCGTGCCCTTCGTCATTTCGAACCAGTGTGCCATTTTCGTCTCTTCTGTAAATGTCGATGAAGGGGATACCCGCACGCCATTTTCGATGGTCTCTGCGTAATCCAATTGGCCAGTAGTTACGAGGGGCTTCACTGGTAACGGCGAAAGGGGAGGAAGGCAATTGATTCAATTCGTATATTTCGTGAGTTTCCTCTAGTTCTGCATCTTCAATGTCGGGATACACTGCCTCGGTCTGGTATCGTGACAGCACACTCATTAGCGTGCACTTCCACTGTTTCTCAATTAAAAAGTCATACAACACTTTGTCTTCTCCTTTGAGTAGACGTTGTTGAAGCCCCTTGGAGATGTATTTGTGCTTTAAAATAATTCCAGTATGAGAAGGTGAACCACTGACCTGTTGGCGAATCTTATGCAGTTCATCGTGTACGTTGGTAAGATTTTTGGCAATCATGGAGGGACTCTCTGTGCTTACTTCAAAATGTTCTTTTACAGGTACAGAATATCCCAGAATAAACTCGGCTCCACGTCGCTTGTGACGATCATTTGGTAGAGTTATGTTGTAGGTAACGGTAACTCTGTGTCCTTCGAGGACAGGTTTAACCTCGTGAATGCAGTTGCTGTAAAACGCGGCCCACTGAACTCTGTTAGCTTCTCCAGAACGCTGTGAGAAGTCAAATACGTGCTCTAAACCATCGTGACTAACGCACAGTTCCCCTCCCTTGTGGGGTGATGGAAGGCAAAGGACAAGCGTGCCTATCATTTCATCACCAGAAGGACTGTCGGCGTGGGGCTTAAAAAAGCCCCCTTCGTTGTAAACATTGACTTTGTACGGATCAAGTTTCACATATCTTCCCGGAGTCAGGGTGTCCTCAATGCGTCTTTCAATACATATTCCCCCTGGAACAACTTCAAGCCTTCTCGCCGTCGAATCAATCTTGAATCTTTCGGTTTCAATTTCGTAAGCCAGACGAACTTCGGAATCAAGCACTGTTTTCATTTCCCTTAAGTCTCCAAACGGTGCAGGACTGCAATATTTTAACAACTCGTCCACAGCAAGATCCGTCAGCTTGTATTCAAGCCAGTGCTCCTTGTCTTTTGTTGGCCTTACTTTTAAAGTAAGTTTATCAAAATCTGGTGGCTGTAAACTTCCTCCACAACAAAACAAGGGCTTAGAGAAAACCTGCTCAAGACTGCCTAGAAGCGGGTTATATTTCTTGACGTCTTCCTCGAAACGGTATCCCCATTTGATGTGATGACTGTTAACGACATAACCTACAGGAGGATTTCGTATCGATCTTCCTACTGCTTGGTTGTAATGAGAGGGTGTTCGGTGGGTTGGTTTTTCCTGCCGCTTAGAAAAAGCTTCAGCCATTTTTCAGTTTATGGGGTGTGTGTCTGATTTTCCACTTGCTTTCTCAGTTATACTTTTTTCTAGGAATACGAAGTGAAAGCCCAATACCTGATTGGCTAACAGGATCAAGTGCCTCTCTGCCTTTAGGCACTTCCTCCTTTTCTCGGAAAATGGATGTAAATTATTTTGTTTTTCAAACACTTATTTCCAGAAACAGGTTGAACCTGCGTGCGTTTTTCAAAACACCCGAAAATGTTTTGGTTTCAAAAAAGCTATTTTAAGAGTACAAAGTCCATTGGCAGAAATGCGTTTTTGCCAACAAGCCATCCGAGCGAAGACACTAGGATGGCGAGGCGGCAATCTCGTCCCCAGAGGCCGCGATCCTTTTGTACAGCGACGGGGATAGACTTGGAGATAGGCAGAAAAATTCTCGATCGAGCTTCAAAAAGTGTAACCCGTAAACCTGTAACCTGATGTAATCAAAGGGCGGTACCTGGAGCACGGGCTGATGTTGAATGTGGTACGCCTTTAAAAATACAAAATTTCAAATAAGCTTCCTGTGTTTATTGATTTATTTTTTCAAACCTGGCCCCGGCAGTCAAGAAACATGAGTACTTGATGAATTGTATTAATAATTTTGGGGGCCATTAATGTCAAGTTTTAACGAAGAGAAGCTTGTAAAACAAAAGTGTTCCATGTGAAACAAGCAATCCTCACCACACTAAAAAGGATAAGATTACAAGAGGAGATAAGGAAAGCTTGATAAGAAGAACATGAACCCGTGATGTAACTAACTACTCAAGAGGGATAGATTAGTATGTAATCGAGCTAATGCAACAGAAGATGAAGGCTAAGCTCTATCCTCTCTTGACTTAGACTATGTTTACACTATACATCACTGGATAGCTCTTCAGCTGACACGAAATACATACCGGACAGGACTTCTGTTCACACGAAAGACGGTGATTTCGGCGTGATTTCTGTAACGGAGCTAAGCTGCGCCGCGCCGATGTTGATCGTAGATCGTCCCTTATCGGATAGCTTTCTGCTACCCTTCGTCCCAGTGTAAACAGGTTTTCGAACCGAAGAAGGAGTAAATAAGTAGGAGAGTAGACTGGAACACACTGACAAGAAAGTGAATATTGAGAAATAGGGAACTTGAGTAAAGGCGTTTTTAATAATTTTTGAGCGAGGCGTACGCGCGCATGTCCACCGGAAGTGAAGCCTTTTCCTTAAAAATGTGCCTTGACAAAAGTCTTTTCTTTATGGAACAATTACAAAAATACTCTAGGTGCTCTTTTTATTTTGATCAGTTTTGTTGCCTTCTCCCTCACCCCCCGCGGGTCTCCCTCGCGCACGCCCGTTCTCCCTTTCGTCCACCACTTTCAAGCGCCTGCTACGCAAGCTAATTCTCTTAATGCCAATTGTTCCCTTTCTAGTGTTCGGTACAGTCCCAGACTTCTTCACCTGCTAAAACCAGACTATTTGAATCAAATAGACTTGCTTCTATTAAGCTATGCACTGTGTAAATGCTTTGTTTATTTATCTCTTGGAAAAAAAAAGAATTCAAACTTCATGTAACTCTCCTTTTACATGTAGAGTAAACAAACAAGATCCCTTATCTGATGAAGAAGAGTCAATATCACTTTCAAGCCTAGGTTACAAGATCCAGTTCCATGCTAAATATATACGTATCTCGCCTCGTTAACCAATAAGAATGCAAGCTACATTAACTTATGCAATTCTAAATAGCTGTACATAATTGTTCTGCTTTGTTCATGTTCTATTTTAGGCTTTGGGTTTCAACTCGGAAAAACTGATTCTTTGGACATACCGCAAACTGCTGCTTATACTGAAGCCCTTTTTTTGAGGGGTTTTAGGAGTGCTTATAACAGGAAAAGCTTTTATCCGAGGGGTTTTGCAACCAGAATAGCTTGGGATGTATTTTTTTGTCTACAGGGAGATGAGCCTATACCTGGGAGGTGCTTATTAGTGGGGGGAGGGGGAGGGAGCTTATAACTTAAGCGGCAGATATCGGTATCCCCGGGTTCTAATATGGCTTTTTAACGGAGGTGCACTATTACTGCTGAATCCAAATAAATCTTATCCACACCTACATCTTCAACTTCGTTGCCAATCCAACTTCCTTGTCCTTCGTTATTCCGCACCAGTTGCTCGGCGCCATTCTCTGCTCTTCTGTAAATCTCAATAAAGGGGATACCGACACGCCACTGACGAAATTCTTGGCGCGTGCTCCGCGGCGTCCATCTCAGATTTCGAGGGTTACTTGGAGGCAAGGGATTGAACTCATAGATTTCGTGACTTTCGTCGAGCTCTCCATCCTCAAACAGACCGTAAGGATGGATTGCTCTAGTTTGATATCTTGAAAGCACGCTAATAAGCTGGCATTTCCACTGCTTCTCCATAAGGAAATCGTACAACACCTTATCTTCACCCTTGAGTAAAGGTGGTTGAAGCCCCTTTGAGATGTATTTGTGCTTTAAAAGAATTCCAATCCGAGCTGCTGAATTTCTTCCCTGTTGACGAATCTTTTCCAACTCGCTGTTAACGTTGGCAAGGGCCTTGGTAGTTATTGAAGGATTTTCTGCGCTTACTTCAAAATGTTCATCTAAAGAATCAGGATCATCTTTTGACCTCAAATGCTGGAAATGACGTTTCTTATGATACACAGAGCTTGGTAAAGTGATGTTGTAGGTTATTGTGACTCTATGACCTTGGAGAACTGGTTTGACTTCGTGAATGCAGTCACTGTAAAATGCTGCCCACTGAATCTTGCTTTTGTCCCCAGAATGATTCGAGAAGTCAAATACGTGCTCTAAACCATCGTGGCTAACGCACAGTTCCCCTCCCTTGTGGGGCGAAGGAAGGCAAAGGACAAGCGTGCCTATCATCTCGTCATCAGAAGGGCTATCGACGTGTGATTTGAAAAATCCTCCTCCACTGTAAACGTTCAGCTTGTATCGCTCGAGTTTCACACTTCTTCCGGGCGTGAATGAACCCTCGATACGTCTTGCAATCCATGTCCTTCCGGGAATATCATTAACCATCCGCGATTGCGACATGTATGTATGCTCCCTTTCAATTGTGAACCTGTTTGACTCAAGTTCGTAAGCTACACGAACAGAGATTCCAACCCTCCCGATTTGATCGGGAGTCTCCCGATTTGATGTCTTGCCGCCTGCTCTCCCGAGTTTTACCAAATTCTCCCGATTTATTATAAAATTCTGAAAACTAGGAAAAAATTGCTAATCTTTAGAATTTTTGGCGATCTGTCACTGTGAAACACTCATATTATACTTACTTTCTTCGTGAAAAGCATTATGGTATGTTATAACTCAGGCCGGAATGATGTCAAAATTCAGGAAATGGAACTTGAGAGAACCTAAATTTGCAAAATTTCCCGGGGGAGCATGGCCCCGGATCCCCCTAGAAGCTCGCGCCTTCGGCGCTAATAATTACTCCCTATTTTCCATCACATGGGGTTGGAATCTCTGCACGAACGTCAGGATCAAGGACTGTTTTCATTTTCCTCAGGTCTCCAAACGGAGCAGGGCTGCAATACTGCAACAGCTCATCCAGAGGGATATTGGCCAATTCGTACTCCTTCCAGTCATTCTCATTTGCTTCAGGAGTGGTTGGCGTCACCTTTAAAACGAATTTATCCATATTTGGTGGCTGTAAACTTCCTCCACAGCAAAACAAGGGCTCAGCGAAGGCCTGCTCAAGACTGTCGAGAAGCGGATTATATTTTTCGATGTCTTCATTGAAGCGATACGACCATTTGATATGATGACTGTTGAAAATATAGCCAACAGGGGATTTCGTATCGACTTTTCGACTGCTTGGTTGTAGTGAGAGGATGTTTTGTCGGTTGGTTTTGCCTTCTGTGTTGAAAAAGCTTCAGCCATTTCAGCGGAATCACAGTGTGTTTGTTTTTTCATAAAGTTTACCCGTTTCTAGGAATTTCACGGTTATACAGCCACATGATTGGCTAACAGACCCTCCCTTTTTCCCGGAAAATGTAATTACGTAGAAGAATGTCTTTTGCTTCTGGACTTCTATGCCAGTGAAATTTTTATTAAACCGGAAAAATTTATCAGTTTTCGATCAGCTATGTGTCCGATTCAGTCACAAAATATAAATTTTGAAACATAACTGAATGATTTTATAAAGGGAAGTCTTTCAGTTACAAAACAGCGCATTTTTGTAAAATAAGTCAAACCGAACCGGATAAGTAATTAAAACAATAACGATATTTCCAAGAAATGAAACATTTTTCCGAGAATCTTCACTATTGATGATAATCTGATTTGTTCTTAGTCCTCTCTTTATTTCCGTCTAATTTCTAAGAAGTATATTCAAAACAAAAAGGGAACGAAAATTTCGTGGTCGCCTGTTTACGTCCTCCATACAAGGACCGCTCAGGGGGTGGGGCTTTAGCTCCTCTCACTTTTTCGGACGGTAAAATATTTTTTTTTTACTTTGGTTACCCAGATCTGTCACTTACCACACAAACAAGGTTTATTAATCCGACAATACTGAACACCCACAAACAGAGAACAGACAAACTTTGTCTTGTAGCTGTTGTCAATGAGTTTGTAGCTCTTAATGACAATCGTAAAGGCAACTTTGGCACCTTCAGACAATCCGACTTAAAAATGTCCGAGTGACACTTAACCGTTGCGTGTGCTGGGTTTTGGTTTAAAGTCTATTCATTTAAATTTTGGTCTAACGTGGGGGCCAGGTTATAACTTGTTGTTTTAAGTGTCGATGTAATAATTACAAATCTATATCACTATTGGCAGTTTTAGATGCATTTATAGCCATTTCAGAAGACTTAAATTTGAAATTTTCCCGTGGGAGCATGCCCTCGGATTCCCTTAGTCTGCTCTCGCTTACGCGTTCGTATTAGCCACCCAGCTGGAAAATCCGCTCCGCGGGCCCTGCCATAAAGCCCGAAATTAGGCATTTTCACTCAGACTATTGCTGCACAACTTCGTCCCTAGTCACTAAAGTGCACGATAATGCACGTCACACAGCAGGATTTTTTAATTAACTTAAATTCTAACAAAAATGTCTGAGTAATACAAAAATAGCGCATACAAATAATTTTTTTTGCAACAAAAAGATTTTATTAACGACTCCACAACATTTCATGAACTGGACATAATCTGATGCTAATATTTAAAACTTTACATAAAATTATGATCTACACTACACTTTATCCTGTAAATTAAATCAAGATTTATACCCGACACCAGAAATAAATAACTAAATAAATAGATAACAATAAAGATCAGAGAGAAGGGGCAGCGGGGGGCGGGGCAGGTTCGATTTAGAGTGCATTTACATTACGTTTTAAATGTGATTTGATTTTTTTTCCCCATTTTTGTTATGGTATTCTTCCCTATTTATCCTTCCAGGTTATTCCGTATAAATGCTATTCTACCTTCCATATCGTGTATTGCTCCGATTTTTTTAAAAAGACCCGCATTACTGGTTTAACACCATTAAAAACAGCGATAAATATAAAACTTTGCCACTAGAATAAGGTGATTTACCCTGCCGATAAAATCTTCTGCATGAAGATACCAAATCAAGAAAGGATAAATAAAGCATTGACAACCGACAAAGGTTCTAATTTGATATTACATTCCATAAGCCAGGAAAGGAGAGCTACCCAAAAGAATCTTGTTATTTCGCAGTTGCAAAAAAGATGCTCTAGGGATTCAATCGTACGTTTTTGCAAAGGGTACATTGAGGCGAATCAATCTTCTTATTAATCTTAAATATAACTTTTCATTCGTAAAAACAGTGTTGCTCAGAACCTTATATTGGAAGTCTCTAATTTTTCGTTCTAACTACTCTTTAAATGAGAGCGAATATGTTTCGTTCTAATCAAATTGGACATCAGGAAATTGATCCGGGGAACAGTTTGAAAAGTTGTTCGCACTAGGATTCATAATCCTGTGCGCACCTCTTGGAAAATCCTGGCTATGCACGTTTTTGCAAATAGGTAGTGCAAGTTATAGGGACCAATAAAATAAGAGGTTTGGATGGGTGCAGGTCAATTGCAAGCTATGCACCTGATAAACAGATGATAAAGTGCTAACCAGACCTTTCTAGGCAGAAAGGAGACAAAAGCGCTTGGGGAGCCAAGGGGAAAAGGAAACAAGCTTTCTACCAAGGACTTCTGGAATCTTCCACCCCTGCCATTTCTTTCTCTTATTTGGCTGTCGAAGGTTGCTTTGTTCTACAAGGGGAGTCCCCCACTGGTTCCACAGAATACTATTGCTTTAAAAGCAATTGAATGAAATGGCAACCATTGCATAGGTAATTACAAGAGATCATCTCGTGGTAATTACTATTCACATGGGGAAACGAGAAACTCGTGTTGGAAAAAGGGAACCTTAGAAAGTATGGGCTGTCGTTGAAGGCGAAGCAATTTCTACGCGTTTCTGTTTTTTTCTCAGTGTGTATGGTTGATTAGTTTATCTGTTTGCAAACAGAATAGGAGACCTGTGCATCAGGCAGGCCTCGTTCCCGCGTTTTCTGCCATGATGGCGTGTACCGCTGCGAAACATCGTATCAAAACGCTGAATACGTTTTTGCAAGAGCGGCAAGTTCATTTGCCTTGGAGTAGTTTGTCCTTTCTCTTTTCTGACACTGTTGCGGAGTCGGGTGATCCTACATTTGGTTCAATAAGAAGGGTGTTGTTTATTCGTAGGTAAGTCTTTTAACTGTCCAGTTCTGGCCACTCTCTCATAGACACCAAATATCGTTTTGAGATTTGGTGAACGCCTTTTTCAAGTGAAATGAGAAGATAGATAGAAAGTCACGTTTCTTTAATAAAACATATACAAGGACCGAGACGAAGACAGGTTCCTGGAAAAAAGGTACACAATTTTGTTCAATTAATTTATTTAAGCTTATTGTGAGCTTATAGGTTTAAACAACAAAAATTTGAACAAAAATCTGATCTATAGAACAGAATGTTGCAAGTGACACATGGATGGCTCAAAAAGCCAAGGGTCAATCATGTACAATGTTGAAAGCTTTTATTGCATGATAGATGGTATAAATGTTTTAGAGACATAACTGTTTTTTTTTTCTTTTTTGTAAAATACACGAGTTAGCCAGTTGAAGAAAAAGGCCGCTAAAAAGGGGATAGTTTCTGGGGGACTCCTTGGAGTTGTTCGTGGGGATGGTCTGCCGTTATTCCAGATCAAAAAAAAATTTCATTTTCCACACCCATTTTCAGACCTGGCCCCAGCTGTTGAATGGGTGGATAGCTACCCACGTATAAATCTCTTTCCAGTGGATAGAGCAATAATTATTGGCTTCCCTAATACTTATCCACTGGATAGAGATTTATTGGATGGATAGTGCTATCCAGCTTTTGAACAACTGTTGCCAGACCTCTAATTAAAATCTATACCTGTTTTCTGACCTGACCTATACAACAAAAAGATTTCCCCATTTCAAATTCGCACCTGTCTGAGCGTCATACACCTACATGGCTTATATAAGGGAGTACCCTCCCCCCCCTTCCCAATGGGGAAAAGCCATTGATCTGTAACAGGGGCCTGTATGTAAACATAGAGCTGCAGAGCTTTTAAAAGATGCAAAATAATGCAAATACTGCTCTTGTCATGGAAATCCCCCACCTATTCAGGATTCATTAGGGCTTTGTCTCTACTTTTTTAAAGGAGTTTGTACAATAAAGCTAGACAAATTCAACCTGTAATCAATTGCACATTCAACTTTTGTGTTGTAAAAAAAATTGATTCTGTCTTGATTTTCCTTTGAGAGAATTGCACAATAACCTCTTTGTTGTGGAGTTCCTAGTATGAGAAAAGATAATTGAGGATATCTCAAGTCAATTTCAGCACAGTTTTGACCCAACAATGTGTAATTCATCATGGGGGAAAATTTTGAGATGCTTAAGTTTTTTTGCCTGGGGGTGGGAAGGGGGGCACTCCTTGGAATTCTTGGTGAGGGTTTGCTGCCTGGTTTTCCAAATCCTGACCCTATTGCACAGCAAAAATGTCATTTTCCACACCTGTTTTCAGACCTGATCTCTGAAATCCATACCTGTTTTCAGACTTGGCCTTAGAGTACAAATAAAAAAAATTCTTCAAATGCATTTCAAATTTGCATATTTCTAATTCTTTCTTGTTCATTTGGAATTTAAATGATAAATACGTTCATACGTTCCCGTAGTTCCCTCGAAAACCATACCTGTTTACAGACCAAAATGGACAAAGTGTATACCTGTTTTCAGACCAAAAAGGCACAAAAATCATACCCTTTGGGTGGCACATACCTATATAGCTTATTTAAGGGAGTACCCCCCGGGTATTTTTGGTTAACGTTTACCTTTTTCTTTTAGTTTTTTTCCTTGTGTGAATATTTTTTTTCCTCTCTCCCCCATAACTTTTCCAAAGTTCCTTCACTTAACTGACACCATGCTATTTATTTGTTTGTTAATTTTTTAATTGTTCTTATTATTGTCTTGCAGTTTTCAAAAATGTGAAGGATGGAGCCCCAAAAAAGGCTGTTGATTTATAAGTCAATGAAAAGTCTGCTGGCACCTTTCATTTGTCTGGATTCCATGGTAAGCCAGCAAACTGTCTTTACCTTGAGGGTCTCTACCCTGTTATTGCAATCAAAATTTTCCTAGTTTCCCATAAAAAATGGCATTTTTTATCACGTGATATTGCTGGCTCACTGTTCAGTTACTGAAGCTTGGTACTTTCAAACAACATTTCCCAAACTGTCAAATCCCATGCATTCATATAATCCTGCATTTCATTCCTTTTTCCTCGTAAACTGCAAATCCCAGGGGAGGAGGAACTCCCATATAAAAGTGACAGGGATGCCTGTCAGGAAATTAAAATTGAACCCCTAAGGGAGACCAATGTGGGTGTGGCTCCAGCTTAGACTGACCCCTAAAGCAGACTATACTAAAACAGACATCACATCAATTTTTGTTCTTAATGTGCAGCTACCCGAAATAAGTGATACCAGAATGGGCAAATATAGTGACTTTCTGTCCCAAACACGCTATTAGTGAGACCAAAATCTGCAATTTACACCCCTAAGCAAGATGATGAGTATCCCTGTCACTTTTATAAGGCGGTTCCCCCAGGCCAGCTATCAAATAAGCCAGTTCCCAGATTCTGATAAAATTAATGAAGACCCTCTACCATAAGTGTAAAACTAGGTGAGAAGTAGGTTTTTCATTTGATATGCCTATTTTATACTAGTCTGAGTTGTTTGCACTATCTGATGGTTAAAGGAATAATTTAGACTGCTCTCAGCAGATTTGCACACCTGTTTCATGTTATCAGAAGCAAAAAAGTGTAAAGACTGATCAATAATTCAAAGTCATACAGGTCTGAGTTCATATTAGTCTCAAGAAGTCAAGTAGGTTTTCGTACATTTATGTTTTTGTTTGCCCCCTAAAATGATTTAACTATATGCTCCATATTTGGCGGGGGGTACACAAATGAAGGTGTGCCTCTGATGTCCTTAAATCCTGACCCTGTTTAAGACAAGATTGAGACTTTTTTTTATGGCCCTAATTAATTTTGTTTTGCAAAGAGAACAAAGCAATTTTTTGAACTAACATCATGAAATGAAATTTTGTTGGAAAATAGTAAATGTTGTACCCCAAATGTTGACCACTCACCGCCAATCTTCGCATTCTTTTAAATTATGCCTTCGTTTTTTTAAAGACATGCTTTTCAAGATGCTTACTAGTGAAATTGTGTACCCTGTTTAAGTCTCTTGGTCCTTAAAACCATGTGCCCAGTTCAGAGGCATATACCCTGCGCAAATTAATGCAAAGAAAGTAGTGTCCTATAGTGTTGGATAGATGAATTTTGTTATTGGGCTTACAGGAGACCTGCAGCCATGCTCATGAAACATTTTTTCAGGCTAGTTAAAAATAACTTTTGCGCTAGTACATTAATTTTTTATCGGGCATGTTGTAAAACTAACTTTCTTTGTACCCTGATGCCTGTTTAGGGGAAATAAGGAAGTGCTCCCCCCAATTTTCCCCACTAAAATGCTCAGTGTCTCCCAAAACAATCATTTGAGTTTATCATACAGAGGCTTCTTTAGGACTCGTAAGGTTTCATTAGGGTTTTAACACACAAAAATTTATAAGTTGTATAAGAACAACATACCGTAAAATTCCAAAATAAGCCCCAGGGCCTATATTTTTCAAAGGGCCTTTTTGGGGGCCTATTTTTGAAGGGGCTTATCTTCGGAGGGAAATTTGCGTTTCAAAATCGATTTGGGCTAGCCTTATAGTTGGAAGTAAATTTACTGTTTTTGCTTTGTTTTACTTTGTATTTGAGGGCAATCTTCCAAGTACAGGCCCCCAGGGAGCTTATACTTGGAGGGGCTTATGCATGGAGGGGCCGGGCTTATGTTTCGAATTTTACGGTATACAAGCTAATAGTTTGGACACAGCAAAAAATAATAATATTCTCTAAACAGCTCATTAGGGTAGCGTTTGAATTTTTTTAATAATGTTCCTTTTCAGTATTCATTTCTCTTGAATTTTCTTTCCCTGAAAAAAAAAAACAATTTTCCTGGAAAATGCCACTTAAATGCTCAAATGATGCTTAATGCTTTTACATCACAAAAGTGCTCAAATATAATGTAAGTATAATACACCAAAGCCAACAATTTGAGCTCATACTTATATAATGAGTTTAAAACTTATAGGTACATATAACATGAGAAATGCAAATCGTGCATCCTAGCCTTGCCTTCCCTAATAAGACTGCTGTCTGAACTAGAGTTTTTCTATTATTGTATCCTTTTGTTTTATTTTGATTCAGTGAGAGTTTTCTTTTCTCTCCCTACCATCATGTTCTCTGAGGGTTGATTTTCTAATTTTCAAAGGCCTTTCTTGATACCTCACACCATATTTTCTCGTGTTTCACATTACTGCTTAGGGTGTTCCTTAATGCTGTGAGTTTTCATCTTAACCAGAAAGATTTAATATGGACTAGTTTAAATCTGCTTTGTTACAATTTCGAGGGGCTGGAAACATTATATCATCAAATTTAGAAGTTTCACTGTATTTTTTGGCCGGAAGGGTTGATTTTACTTCTGAAGAGAAACCATCTCCTTAATTTCTTTTACTTTCGCTGAGACTGTAATGAAAGGCTGGCTATGTTTTAAGATTCTGTGTTTTTAATTTAATGGGGACAGGATGCCATTACTGGGTGTCTAGGTACAAGTCCAAGAAATATATTCTAGGACAACCGTTTAGGGGTTACTATAAGAGAAAAATTTGTTTACCACGTCGACTATACACCCCGGGTTGAAGTGAACCGTTATTGGGTTGCCTGTGAAACGCGATATGTAGCTTTGCTCGCAACAAAATCACGGCAACATAGAATTGTTGGTTATTGCTTTTGCTTATGTGGTGGCTCCTAAAAGAGCCGTTTGTTTGTAAAGAAGTGTCGCACTTTACTTCTTGGCGGTTTTTTTGGCGGCAGTTTTCTTGGCGGGCTTTTTGGCTGCAGGCTTCTTTGTCTTCTTTCCTGTAGCTTTTTTGGCGGCTGGTTTCTTTGCTGCAGTCTTTTTCGGTGTCGATTTCTTACTGGGCTTTTTAACTGCTGTTTTCTTGGCTGGCTTCTTTTTAGCTGCTGGTTTCTTCGCCGCTGGCTTTTTAGCCGCGGGTTTCTTTGTTACCTTCTTGGCGGCGGGCTTCTTTGGCTTCTTCGCCGGTTTCTTCGGAGCTTTCTTTTCCTCCTTGGGCACCTTGAAGGAACCAGAAGCGCCAACTCCTTTGGTGTGTACTAACTTTCCACCGGCAACTCCTCTCTTGAGAGCCGTCTTCAAGTGTGGGCCGACCTCGCCAACCTTGTAGTTGGCTTTGATGTACTTCTCGATGGCTTGGCGCGAAGATCCGCCTCGCTCTTTCAGAGCTACAATAGCAGCTTTGATCATCTCACTGTATGGGGGGTGATCAGCTGGCTTTTTAGGCTTAGATGGCTTCTTCTTAACCGGTGACTTTGCTTTTGCTTGTGCTGCTTCAGACATGATGGAGTTTGAACGATACCTTCGGATACGAAAGAACTGATGCTTCGGATGCTGTTAGCTGATGTAAATTACTTGTATGCGGACCACTGAGGAGACAGCAAACGAACATGGCGCCCGATTCTTCTGTGCTAGTTTTCTGTGGGTTTTGTCAAATAAAGTGATGTAACAGAAAAATTAATCACTTCTAAAATTAAAAAAATTGAACGTGTAGTCTTTGAAGAACTGATTACCTTAAATAAGTGCGAGGTAAGGCAAGTATAAGAAATAATAAATGACCTTTTATCCTTCCCCTTCGGTCAATTTTGAAACAATTTTATCTTTTAAGTCGTATAACTGTTGCTCCTGCGACCTTTTTTTCTGTGTAGAAACATTTGGGAGATAGGAGAACTATTACACTTCAAGTCTCTTGCTATAATCTTCACATTATCTCTCATTTAACTTGGTTTAAACTCTCTTTTGTCATCGTAACAAGGACAAAGTCGCTTGCATCCACTCGCAAGGGAGAGAAGTCGAGAGAAGGCTATTACGATCCAAACTGAACAAGACCAAACTTCATAAGTTGTTGAAATTCAGGCTGAGTGTCTAAATGGTCACAGGCGGTCAAGATTTTCGAGATCTGATTAACTGTCGGTAATTTTTTTAGTGAGTCACTAGCAAAATCACCGACGGTTCGATGTGCATTTATCTAAATTATCTATATCAAAATTTCCTTCCACTGGTAGATGCAGCGATCTTATGTTAGTAGACAGTGAATATAGATGTTCGTATTATGTTGGAACTATTTTGTGTTTCAAAAAATGAGCGGCAGTCGGCTGTTAAAATATTGTTAGAACTGAAAGGTCAGTTTTTCTTCGTGGAGATAAGGTTAACCTTCCTTCTGATTTACTTTTATGACTGGAACATTTTTTATTTATTGAGCCATGTTGTGATCATATTTTCTGAGGGGTTGGCGGCTGTACACGGTAGAGATTTTTAAAAAAGAAAGAGCGCCTCATTCACTAGCTGTTTTTTATATCCTGCGGTTTCCGTTTTTATGGATATGTTTTCCCTGAGAATATTCAGGCAACTTTGTAGTGTTTTTACAGATTTGATTCACTAACTAATTTCATGCGCATAAAACTAAATGTCCTAAATAAATCGCGCGTTCAATCGGAAGAATTCATTGGCAGGGAACAAAAATAGGTAAAGTAGCTTTTTTGGCATCATTTGTTACGAAGTTAAACCGATAAAACATTTTTATCATTTTCGTTGATTTCTGCCTTCTAAGTTCCTTACTTAAAAATTCTTGTTACAAAAAAATCTTACTCATTCTTGGAGCTGCGAAAACGGTTTGGCTTGTTATAAGAAAGAAAATTTTAGACCTTCGACTCGCTATAGCTTTTGTGCCGAAAGGAGTGGAAACATGGAAGGACACAAAATTCATTTCTGTTGGTTATTGCTTTTATTGATGTGGTGGCTCCTAAAAGAGCCGTTTGTGTTGTAAGTATTGGAAGCAATCGACTTATGCACGCTCTCCGCGGATTCGGCGGGCCAACTGAATGTCTTTGGGCATGATGGTGACACGCTTGGCGTGGATGGCGCACAAGTTGGTGTCTTCAAACAGACCAACGAGATAGGCCTCGCTTGCTTCTTGAAGAGCCATCACAGCAGAGCTCTGGAAACGCAGATCGGTCTTGAAGTCTTGAGCGATTTCTCGCACAAGACGCTGGAAGGGCAGCTTGCGGATTAGCAGCTCGGTGGATTTCTGGTAACGACGGATTTCACGAAGAGCCACTGTACCAGGCCTGTAACGATGAGGTTTCTTGACTCCTCCAGTGGCGGGCGCGCTCTTACGAGCTGCCTTTGTGGCGAGCTGTTTTCGTGGAGCTTTTCCACCAGTTGATTTACGGGCAGTTTGCTTTGTACGTGCCATTTCTGCTAACTCAAAAGTCAACGAATAATTTTTCGACGGTAATCCCTAATACTTTATTCTTAGCGCGCTATTTCCTGATTGGTTATAAACTATGCAATTTCATTGGATAACCAAAACTGCTTGCAAAATAGTCTCATGATCTGGGATTGCATTTCGATCCTGTATGCCTCTTAAGGTTTTTTTATTCGTGGGAAACAATAATTTGTTAGCTTTCGTTCTTAGTTGTTAGAAAATATCATCATAAGATTCGTCGAGGGGTTAAGTCGCACGTTTGTTAGTGATAATGTGAAGTTTTTGCTCCTCTAACATGTTTGGTCTTGTCTGGTGAGGCAATAGATGGTAATGATTATCTTGACCTCATGGCTCTTTTGTTTCTATCCACCAATGGCGAACAACTAATTACACTTCTTTTAGCCTGTTTCCCGTGAGGTCATTGTTTGTGGTATAAAAAGAAGAATTCTCAATGTTTGAGTCATTATCCTGTTTCAAGATATTACATCAACATGTCTGGTCGCGGTAAAGGAGGCAAAGGTCTAGGAAAAGGAGGCGCCAAGCGTCACCGAAAGATTCTTCGTGACAACATCCAAGGCATCACCAAGCCAGCTATCCGTCGTCTTGCTCGCCGTGGCGGTGTCAAGCGAATCTCTGGCCTGATCTACGAAGAGACTCGTGGTGTTCTCAAAGTTTTCCTGGAGAATGTGATCCGTGATGCTGTTACCTACACCGAGCACGCCAAACGCAAGACTGTGACCGCCATGGATGTGGTGTACGCTCTCAAACGCCAAGGACGTACTCTGTACGGATTTGGCGGTTAGATCTTTGCGTTACCCACCCAAACAAACGGCTCTTTTAGGAGCCACCAAATCTTTAAAAGTCATAGCCAATAAAGTGATGTTACTCTCGTATTTAATGTACACTGCGCGTGGGGTTTCCCGTTGAAGAAAAGACAGTCAGTAATATTATTTTTTATTTTTGTACGATGTCGTTGTAGAGGTTCTAGCAAAGATGCGTTTTTGCCACAAAGCAATCAACTGTATAACGGACGCTCGTTGAGGCATGAAGACAAAAGAAAAACAAATTGCGCGCCGGCGTCGTTATAAACTGAACAGATTTGCATTTGATGTAACGCGGTGATCTATGAGACACTACGGAAAACCCATCGCCATTAGATGCACATGTTCGAACTTTAATATTTATATGTATTTCACATATTTTACTGATCTTTTTCACATAAGCCTAATTTCTACCCCTCTCTAAAATGTCAAAATATTGCCGTTTCATGGGCGGTTTATTTTCAACTAATCAACGCCTAAACCCAGAAACTTTATTTGGTGAATTCTTCTAGAACGGAAACACCCAGTTAAGCCACTAAAGCTTTCTGTTTTGATCAATGGAGTTTTAACCGTAAGTTATAAGGATTATCATGCAAGCTGAATCAGGGGTTACTTTCTGGCTTCACTGACTTATTCAAAGAAGAATAAATCTACAAATGGGTTGATATGTTTTTCTTTTTATGGTCATGACTTTTTTAAATGTGGTGGCTCCTAAAAGAGCCGTTTGTGTTAACGCAGCGTAGGACTGTTTAGGCTTTTGTCTTCTTCTCCGCCTTCTTGGGCAGAAGAACAGCCTGGATGTTGGGCAGAACACCTCCTTGAGCGATGGTGACGCCGGCAAGCAGTTTGTTCAACTCTTCATCGTTGCGGACAGCAAGCTGAAGGTGACGGGGAATGATTCTGGTTTTCTTGTTGTCACGAGCAGCATTGCCCGCCAACTCGAGGATCTCAGCGCTCAAATACTCGAGCACCGCAGCCAAGTAGACTGGAGCACCAGCGCCAACACGCTCAGCATAGTTGCCTTTTCGAAGAAGACGATGGATACGTCCAACGGGGAACTGAAGTCCTGCTCGGGATGATCGGCTTTTGGACTTGGTGCCCTTTGCCTTTCCTTTACCGCGACCAGACATGTTTTCACAACAAACGTTTAGCTCGAAAATGCACGAGTGAATGGACTGAAAATGGACTGAACTTACAAACCTAAGAGTTTATACGCGCGGTAAAATTTGAATGGGATCGAAACGCACCAATCAGACTTAACAATTTTAAGTGTCTAATGAAATATGATGATGTATACAGGAAGCATATTGACCTTGAAATAAAGTAACCAATTAAAACTCAACGATTTCGATCCGTATGTTAATTGATCCCCTAATGGTTTTGAGATAAATAGAATCTGGGTCAACTCATTGCATTCACTTCCATTCTGATCGACAGACATGGCACCCAAAGTTGCAGGAAAGAAAGGCGAGAAGAGAGCTGGAAAGGCAAAGGCTCCATCTGATGGAAAGAAGAAGAGGAGGGGAAAGAGAAAGGAAAGCTATGCCATCTACATCTACAAGGTGTTGAAGCAAGTTCACCCTGACACTGGTATCTCCAGCAAAGCCATGGGCATCATGAACTCGTTTGTCAACGACATCTTCGAGCGCATCGCCACCGAAGCTTCCCGCCTTGCCCACTACAACAAGAAATCAACCATCAGTTCTCGTGAGATCCAGACCGCCATCAGGCTGCTTTTGCCCGGTGAACTGGCAAAACACGCTGTCAGTGAAGGAACCAAAGCTGTGACCAAGTACACCAGCAGCAAGTAAACTCACTTTGTGAGTTTACCGCCAAAACAAACGGCTCTTTTAGGAGCCACCAAATGTCATAAAATTCATGACCAAATTCAATGATATTATCCTAATTCCCGCCCCTAGTAGCCTGTTCACTGACTCTCTATTTTCTCTTAAAAGTCCGTCGAGCGCTCGTGATAAAAATAAAACCCTTTGTCCAAAAGTTGGCTCCTATAAGCGACGAATAACCGTAACGAACATTTTTCAAACTCTACACAAATCAATCACTTAGTGATTCTAAATCAGTGATAAGCAAATCTTTAAGAATTTCAGTAATTTTAAAATATCACGGCAAAGGATGAGACAACTTTTAGAAATAATTCGAAAATGCTATATTTGCAATGGTATGGTAAGCTTATAAAATTTATTCGCCGCGTGACACTGTGTATAAACCGAAGTGTTGTATAGCGTTTTCCTAGTGGTGAGGGGAGAGTTTGTTGTGTGTCAGTCAACTTTTCGGCTCTCACGCCTCGCGTTAACCTGCGTCTTACGTGAATCTGCGTGTCCGACTTGAGGTTTCATTCCCTGACTTAGACTGCAAAACAGTCGGGTTTTTTCTCAAAATCAGTAAAGAAATCGGTAAAGCGTGGCGTAAGGGTCTTACGCGGGCGAAATGCGCGAGTCTCTCTCTCTCGCTCTCTGTTTTCATCCTCGTTCCAGACTTTCCAAACCTTTTTTTTTGGCTGCTCGCGCGTACTTGAATACACAAAAATACGGACTGTTTTGCAGTCTACTGACTTTAAGAATTAAATCTTCTCAATCACATCTTATTCTTACCTTTGAATTGCGCTGCTTCATTCCTTGCCTTAGCGTCCTTAGCTTTTGTTCAGGAAACACGGACTGGTTTTAGGGCTGAGGGGGATTTAGTCCGCCATTTTTTCACACATTTTTTATATGACATCGCATGATCAGTTGCTTTTTAAAGCATTTAACAAGAAAAATTAAACTAAAGCATGTAATTCAACGTTTCGATGTTTCTAACATCTTTACAGTCAAACCCCGCTCTACTGACACCTGCTTACACCTCATTATTACTGGCAGTTTGCTTTATCCCTGGGGTAAGAAAGCCCTTACATTTTCTGTAAATTCAAGCCGCTTAACACGGACACCCCTTCAATACGGACACCTTCTAGAGGTTTGGATAAATTAGATAGCATTCGTGCATGCTTAATTATTATTATGCAAATGTACCAATAGAGAAACTTCGCGCGACTGGGTCTGATTGCTCGTTTTATTACATCCACTTTGAAATCACTGACTATCCGTGCAATCTGATTGGCTCTCAGCAGTGTGATTTATTCCTAAATCGCACCATTTTTTGCGCTAAATCGCATCTGTTCCAAATCGCGTCATTCATGTTCTAAATCGCATCATTTCTGTTTTAAATCGCACCATTTTTGTTCTATATATTGCATCATTTCTGTTTCGAATACAAAATGAGATGTAAAAGCCTTTTTGTTTCGGCTTTTTAACAAACCAACTACTCGATCAATAAAATATTACTATTGACTAAATTCTGCGATTTCAAAATGGATGTAATAAAGTGGTAATTGAACTTCGTGTCGTGCAATTTTGGTCTGAAATCATACTTGTGATTTCAAATCAAACTCGCGCTGCGCGCAAGTTCGATTTTGAAATCACACGTATGATTTCAGACCAAATTGCACTCCACTTAGTTCAATTACCATTATTAACGCCTGGGAGGGGGGGAGGTGGGTACTCCCTTATATAAGCTATATACGTATGAGCCGCCCCATCGGGTAGGGTTTTTGCGCCGTTTTGGTATGAAAACGGGTATATACTTTGCCCATTTTGGTCTGGAATCGGGTATGGTTTTTGAGGGAACTACGGGAGTGTATGAACGGGTTTATCGTTTCAATTCCAAAGGGAGTAAGAAAGAAAGAGAAAATAGGCGAATTCGAAATGGATTTGAAGAATTTTTTTTGTTTGTGCTCTAATCTAAGGAATGATAACACAATTTCTGCCTAAAGGACAGATCTGACAAAAACCGGTATGGATGTCGCGGTCTGGCCTGAAAACGGGTGTGGAAAATTACATTTTTTGGCCTGAAACAGGGTCAGGATTCGGAGAACCGGGCGGCACACCCCTACAAAGAATTGCCAGTGGTACCCTCCGGGTTGAGGTCCTGTATAAACAGTATTTCGTAGACAGGGCATTCAAATTTATTCTTGCACTTTTTGAGGACCGAAAAATTATCCGTGAGGGTTGATTTCTCGACCCCATGTTGCTTTAAGTGTCTCCAGATCGACGAAATTGAGGGTGTGTTTTCGCTGATGCGGTGATATGTATAGGTGTCTATTAGTGAAACCGACATAGTCTATATTAATTGACCACTGTTTGAATTGCTCATTTACGGAGAACATAATCGATTCCTATCGATTAATATCGGAAATCGATATTCATCTATGATTGATGTCGGTTACTATTGATTATTTTATCGAGTATCGGTTTATCTGTTAACCACGTCAGGAAGTAAGAGACATCCCTACTGAAGAACAAAGGAACAGAAACGGAAGATAGTAAACGAGCAATGCATTGTATCTGGCTCACGCACTTTTGAGAGACACAGAATACTTTAAGACCCAGAGATCGCACTCAAAAGATTTAAAATGTGTAACGGATGAATGCCAAATCATCTTTGAATCCTCCATTGGCCCGCTAATCCTATCAATACGGCAGAAACTGGACAAACAAAACCTCTGCCGCTTATTTTTCATGTGCTACAATGTTTTCGTACGTGCTTTAATAATATATGTAAAATAAACCAAATGTTTTCCATTCATTAATTAAATGCACTTGAGAGTATACAACTGAAATAGTGTTTAAAAAACAGACAAACACACAAACTAACCAAAAACAAAGAAGCTGGTCTGAATTCTTGTCAGTCTCTACATCTTTTCCTGCTAAGGTTGCATTTTCGTTTTGTTTTTGTTCTGTTTTGTACTTGTTTATAAGTACTGTGTACCTACGTCGAGAAAACAGCACTGAACTCGTCCCTGGTTGACAGTTTTAGAAGTTTTCCCTGGTTTAAAAACTAAAGTGCCCAAGACCTTTAAATCCTCGGGCCTTTGCCATAACTATTCTCACTGACCCTATTTTTAATATTTGCCTAAACCAATATTTTAATATTTGTTATCTCCTTTCGCTATGATTTTTTCAAGTCTATTAGATCAAGTATACATCGTAGTTTGAAAATAAGGAAACTTCTTTATCGGAGGGGTTCAAACCTATGCTCACGGTCAATGAGTTTTTTTTAAATCCTGCTGATTATCCAGCTTATAATCTCCACCCTTTCTTCCTTTCTGTCCGTGATAAGTTATTTTCTGATAAACGTTCGGGTTAATATTTGAAGTTTAATAATGTCAATCATTAAATTACAAAAATTGTTTCTGGTCTGATGTATGTAGTGTATGGGGTGGGGGGGGAGGGGAGGGGGATAGGGGGGTTTACGGACCCACGGATCCTACCCCTGGATCAGCCACTGCCTAATCGGCTCCTACCACTGCTACCTTGTGACTAGCACCTGCTAACCAGGCCGGCAACCAGCATTCCCACAGTCTGAAATGAAAATCGGTTCAGAAGGCCCAAGTCACCTTACTAAAGCCTTCCTGTCAGCTTAAGTAAACCTTATATAATTCCTTAAATACAACTCGGAGGACCATTTGAATAGAATGTCAGTCTAAGTGTTTTCCTAAACAATCTAAACAATATTCGTGTGGTCCTCCCGAGATATCGTACTTGTTTTTGGTTTGGTCTGGTTTTGATAAGAAATATAGTTGTCAGAAACAGGATTCATCCTCTAAATTTACGGTTTCTCAAAAAGTTCCACAATAACTGCTGACTCCAAATAAATCTTGTCTACTCCAACAGCTTCAACATCGTTCGCCAGCCATTGGCCGTGCCCTTCGTCATTTCGAACCAGTGTGCCATTTTCGTCTCTTCTGTAAATGTCGATGAAGGGGATACCCGCACGCCATTTTCGATGGTCTCTGCGTAATCCAATTGGCCAGTAGTTACGAGGGGCTTCACTGGTAACAGCGAAAGGGGAGGAAGGCAATTGATTCAATTCGTATATTTCGTGAGTTTCCTCTAGTTCTGCATCTTCAATGTCGGGATACACTGCCTCGGTCTGGTATCGTGACAGCACACTCATTAGCGTGCACTCCCACTGTTTCTCAATCAAAAAGTCATACAACACTTTGTCTTCTCCTTTGAGCAGACGTTGTTGAAGCCCCTTTGAGATGTATTTGTGCTTTAAAATAATTCCAATATGAGAAGGTGAACCACTGACCTGTTGGCGAATCTTTTGCAGTTCATCGTTTACGTTGGCAAGATTTTTGGCAATCATGGAGGGACACTCTGTGCTTACTTCGAAATGTTCTTTTACAGGTACAGAATATCCCAGAATAAACTCGGCTCCACGTCGCTTGTGACGATCATTTGGTAGAGTTATGTTGTAGGTAACGGTAACTCTGTGTCCTTCGAGGACAGGTTTAACCTCGTGAATGCAGTTGCTGTAAAACGCGGCCCACTGAACTCTGTTAACTTCTCCAGAACGCTGTGAGAAGTCAAATACGTGCTCTAAACCATCGTGGCTAACGCACAGTTCCCCTCCCTTGTGGGGTGATGGAAGGCAAAGGACAAGCGTGCCTATCATCTCATCACCAGAAGGACTGTCGGCGTGGGGCTTAAAAAAGCCCCCTTCGTTGTAAACATTGACTTTGTACGGAGCAAGTTTCACATATCTTCCCGGAGTCAGGGTGTCTTCAATGTGTTTTTCAATATATACTCCCCCTGGAACAACTTCAAGCCTTCTCGCCGTCGAATCAATCTTGAATCTTTCGGTTTCAATTTCGTAAGCCAGACGAACTTCGGAATCAAGCACTGTTTTCATTTCCCTTAAGTCTCCGAACGGTGCAGGACTGCAATATTTTAACAACTCGTCCACAGCAAGATCTGCCAGCTTGTATTCAAGCCAGTGCTCCTTGTCTTTTGTTGGCTTCACTTTTAAAGTAAGTTTATCAATATCTGGTGGCTGTAAACTTCCTCCACAGCAAAACAAGGGCTTAGAGAAAACCTGCTCAAGACTGCCTAGAAGCGGGTTATATTTTTTGACGTCTTCCTCGAAACGGTATCCCCATTTGATGTGATGACTGTTGACGACATAGCCTACAGGAGGATTTCGTATCGATCTTCCTACTACTTGGTTGTAATTAGAGGAGGTTCGGTCGCTTGGTTTTGCCTGCCGCTTAGAAAAAGCCTCAGCCATATTTCAGTTTATGGGGTGTGTGTGTTTGATTGTTTACTAGCTTTTCTCAGTTGTACCTTTTTCTAGGAATACGAAGTTTAAAAAGCCCAATACCTGATTGGCTAACAGGATCACGTGCCTCTGCCTTTAGCCACTTCCTCTTTTTCTTGGAAAATGGATGTGAGTAGGAGCCTAATTTTGTTCCTCAAACGCAAGGGTGCATTTCTTTACTAAAATCCGAATGCGGATTTTTAATTCCAAAACGGATATTTCTTTTCTTTACTAAAATCCAAAAACGGATCATTGATCCACATGATCCACAACGGAGGTGAATTATTTTCTTTGGATCATATCCAAAACCGGATACTTTGGATACATGATCCAAAGCGTTTCTTTACTACGGATCCGAAAAGAGAGAATATTTCCCGCGGTAACTCGAAACATTTTTAATACATACATCAGCTTTTTGAAAAAGCTGCTTACCTTTTCGACCATTTTTGAACTACAAGGCTTTACTTTTCCAATACATGTGTACTGATATCTTATTTCAAGACTCGTATTCATTTGGCCCGTCTAAATCTGACCGTCCACAACACAATGAAACATCAACAAACTTGCAACCTTGTCAGCAGCCGTGTTGTTCTTTCTCCGTGATAGCGTGGGTCGTTTCTGTGGAAATGAATGAAAAGTAATCCCTTTTTGGATACATCGTTGCTTTTCTCAATGAAAAATCTTGATGATCCGGATTTTTGATCTGATCTTGGATTTTAGTAAAAAAACGCGCCCTTATTTCGAGAAAGAGGGTAAACCTGCGTGCGTTTTTCAAAACACCCGAAAAAATTTTGGTTTTAAAAATTTATTTTAAGTTCAGAAAGTCCATTAGCAGAAATCCGATTTTTAATAATTTTTAAATTTATTTTACAGAGAACAGTTTCTGGGCCCGAAAACTCTATTCGTTACTTAATTACTAAATTAGTAACGAGCGAGAAAGGCCAGACACGTAGTACTTCAGACAACCTTCTCGAAAACAGTATTTTAAAAGTGAACGAGATAGGGCTGGACATGACCTCATGAACACGTGATGTAACTAACTACTCGAGGAATCGATTAGGATGTAATCGAGCTAACCTCTGTTGACTTAGTCTATGTTTACACTATACAACACTGGATAGCTCTTCAGCTGACACGAAATACACACCGGAAAGGGCTTCTGTTCACACATAAGACGGGGATTTCGGCGTGATTTCTGTAACGGAGCTAAGCCTGCGCCGCGCCGATGTTGATCGTGGATTGTCACATATCGCATGGCTACCCTTCGTCCCAGTGTGAACAGGTTTTCGAACCGTAGCAGAAGTAAATGAGTAGGAGAGTAGACTGAAACACACTGAGAAGAAAGTGAATATTGAGAAATAGGGAACTTGAGTAAAGGCGGGAAAAAAAAATGCGCCTTGACACTACTCTGCCCCTCGCGGCTTCGCCGCTCGCTCGCGCGTTCTCGCACGCTACTTTCTAGTGTTCGGTTTGTACAGTACCAGACTTCTTCACTTGCTAAAACCAGACTATTTGAATAAAATAGACTTGTTTCTTTAAAGCTATGCACTGGAAAAAAAAAGAATTCAAACTTCATGTAACTCTCCTTTTACATGTAGAGCAAACAAACAAGATCTCTTATCTGATGAAGAAGAGTCAATATCACTTTCAAGCCTCGGTTACAAGATCCAGTTCCATGCTAAATATATACGTATCTCGCCTCGTTAACCAATAAGAATTCAAGTTACATTAACTTATATAATTTTAAATAGCTGTACATAATTGTTCTGCTTTGTTCATGTTCTATTTTAGGCTTTGTGTTCAACTCGGACAAACTGATTCTTTGGACATACCGCGAACTGCTGCTTACACTGAAGCCCTTTTGTGGGGGGTTTTAGGAATGCTTTTAACAGGAAAAGCTTTTATCCGAGGGGTTTTGCAACAAGAATAGCTTGGGATGTATTTTTTTGTCTACAGGGAGATGAGCCTGTAACTGGGAGGTCCTTATAAGTGGGGGGGAGGGGGGGGAGAGCTTATAACTTGAAAGCGGCAGATATCGGTATCCCCAGGGTTCTAATATGGCTTTTTAGCGGAGGTGCACTATTACTGCTGAATCCAAATAAATCTTATCCACACCAACATCTTCAACTTCGTTGCCAATCCAACTTCCTTGTCCTTCGTTATTGCGCACCAGTTGCTCGGCGCCATTCTCTGCTCTTCTGTAAATGTCGATGAAGGGGATACCGACACGCCACTGACGATATTCTTGGCGCGTGCTCCGCGGCGTCCAACTCAGATTTCGAGGGTTACTTGGAGGCAAGGGATTGAACTCGTAGATTTCGTGACTTTCGTCGAGCTCTCCATCCTCAAACAGACCGTAAGGATGGATTGCTCTAGTTTGATATCTTGAAAGCACGCTAATAAGCTGGCATTTCCACTGCTTCTCCATAAGGAAATCAAACAACACCTTATCTTCACCCTTGAGTAAAGGTGGTTGAAGCCCTTTTGAGATGTATTTGTGCTTTAAAAGAATCCCAATCAGAGCTGCTGAATTTCTTCCCTGTTGACGAATCTTTTCCAGCTCGCTGTTAACGTTGGCAAGGGCCTTGGTGGTTATGGAGGGATTTTCTGCGCTCACTTCAAAATGTTCATCTAAAGAATCGGGATCATCTTTTGGCCTAAGGTGCTGGGAATGACGTTGTTTATGATACACAGAGCTTGGTAAAGTGATGTTGTAGGTTATTGTGACTCTATGACCTTCGAGAACTGGTTTGACTTCATGAATGCAGTCACTGTAAAATGCCGCCCACTGAATCTTGCTTTTGTCCCCAGAATGATTCGAGAAGTCAAATACGTGCTCTAAACCATCGTGGCTAACGCACAGTTCCCCTCCCTTGTGGGGCGAAGGAAGGCAAAGGACAAGCGTGCCTATCATCTCGTCATCAGAAGGGCTATCGACATGTGATTTGAAAAATCCTCCTCCACTGTAAACGTTCAGCTTGTATCGCTCGAGTTTCACACTTCTTCCGGGCGTGAATGAATCCTCGATACGTCTTGCAATCCATGTCCTTCCGGGAATATCATTAACCATCCGCGATTGCGACATGTATGTATGCTCCCTTTCAATTGTGAACCTGTTTGACTCAAGTTCGTAAGCTACACGAACGTCAGGATCAAGGACTGTTTTCATTTTCCTCAGGTCTCCAAACGGAGCAGGGCTGCAGTACTGCAACAGCTCATCCAAAGGGATATTGGTAAATTCGTACTCCTTCCAGTCATGCTCATTTGCTTCAGGAGTAGCTGGCGCACCTTTAAAACCAATTTATCCATATTTGGTGGCTGTAAACTTCCTCCACTGCAGAACAAGGGTCCAGCGAAGGCCTGCTCAAGACTGTCGAGAAGCGGATTATATTTTTCGATGCCTTCTTTAAGGCGATACGACCATTTGATATGATGACTGTTGACAATATAGCCGACAGGAGGATTTCGTATCGAATTTTCGACTGCTTGGTTGTACTGAGAGGATGTTTTGTCGGTTGGTTTTGCCTGACGCGTAGAAAAAGCTTAAGCCATTTTAGCGGAGTCAGTGGGTGTGTTTTTTATGAACTTTACCATTTCTAGGAATTACACGGTTATAGAGCCACATGATTGGCTAATAGAATCGCTCGTCTTTATCTTTATAAGTACCCTCCCTTTCTTCCGGAAAATGTGATGACGTAGAAGAATGTCTTTTGTGTTTGGACTTCTCATTTTTATATATAAACCATACCAGTGAAAATTTTTTATTAGTGGTAGTTACAATGTTTATTTGTTAGCGACTCAAACCAGAAACGTTAATCTGTTTTTAATCAGCTATATTTCCGATTCAGTGTCCATTCTACGAAAGATAAAGTTTGAAAGATAACTGAATGACAGTTGAATGATTTTATAAAGGGAATTCTTTCAGTTAAAAAGCTGCTTATTTTTGTAAAATAAGAAATTGAAAACAAGAAAGATTTTTCCAAGAAATGGAATATTTTTCTGAGAATCTTTGCTATTGATGATAAGGTGTTGAGTGAATTTGCTTCATTGTCCACGTCTGTAACCGTTTTTGTAGTTTGTGGTTTGATCTGGCTCCAGACAGTCGGTGGTGGTAAACCAGGTCCTTGAAGGGGTTCCAAGCACAATATTAATAATTATTAAATCAGGTGTTCCTCAAGGGACACTCCTGAGCCCTCCTTGTTTTCTATTGCACTTTAAGGACATGGGCGATGATATTATATAGCATCGCAACTGAAATAATTCACAGACAGCAGCCTTATACGGCATCATCCACAATGGCCTATACTAGAAGATTCCTCCCGAAAGAGGTACTTATTTCAGGCTTCATGTTCAGGTATATGAAACGGTAAGGATTTCACAAGTTTAACTAAGTGAATAAAGATACATATAGAAGGGTAAGGAAATGTCTCATCAGATTGCGGTCTCTGAATGGCAAACAGATGCATCTTATGGCTGTGAAAAAGAGAGGAAAACTTCCTGGTTAAGTGTTTTAATATATTTAGCAGTTAAAAGGGATTCAGTGTTCTTATCTACTTAGTATGTGAAAGGGGTTCCATTTATCAAAAGATATACAAAAGCGGTACCTTTTCTGTGAAGAATATATATAAAAGAGTTCGGGGCGGAGTCTCCCCGCCCGATTCGTCACAAGGACGTAAAGTCCAGAGGATGGCTATTTCGAATCCTGAACCGTCTTAATTAAGAATCTCTGAAACATAGGACACTAGTGACAAGGCTGGGGCTACTTCACAAAGCCGTACATAACAAAGCAGCGAACACTAGTCCACCCAAAGTCAACACCAGTCCATCTCCTTTATTCCATCTTTTATTTTCAAAACAGCTATTACAGGTCACACAGGACTGACAAATGTTTAAAAAACCACGATCGTTTAATCCTGTTTCTGGTCAAAGGTCTGTGAGGCAAAAAGTCCTGAAAAAAAGGTAAAAAATATAAATAAAAACTTCGAACATGCTGAAGCAGCCACCTTACGTTTACAGGGCTCTCTGTTTCCCAAGTGTAAATGGTGACTGGGAATAATATAAGTAGACGCTTAATTATAAACAGAAAGGAAAAAGTTGCCGGATGAGCGTGTTTGATTGGCTGTCTTCCGGGATATGAATGCGCAAAAGTTTCATTACAAATTTCTTCAATCTTACTCACTGCTACATGGCCCTTTGTGAAACCATTCAAACCATACAGATCTGAATCACTTGTTTTTTTTCGGTATACACACGAAGTGCAAGTCGCTGGAAGGTCTGGAAGGGCAGCTTGCGGATTAGCAGCTCGGTGGATTTCTGGTAACGACGGATTTCATGAAGAGCCACTGTATCAGGCCTGTAACGATGAGGTTTCTTGACTCCTCCAGTGGCAGGCGCGCTCTTACGAGCTGCCTTTGTGGCCAGCTGTTTTCGTGGAGCTTTTCCACCAGTTGATTTACGGGCAGTTTGCTTTGTACGTGCCATTTCTGCGAACTCAAAAGTCAACGAATAATTTTTCGACGATAATCCTTAACTCAACTCAACGAATAATGGATACGACTATACTTCCTTACCGATATTTCATTCTTAGCGCGCTGTTTCCTGATTGGTTATAAACTATACAATTTCATTGGATGACCGAGACTGCTTGTAAAAATGTCATTGATCTGACTTGCATTTCGATCCGGTATGCCACTTTAATATTTTTTCATTCATGAGAAACAATAATTTGTTAGCTTTCGTCCTTAATTGTTAGAAAGTATTTTCTTAAAATCCGTCGAGGAGTTAAGTCGCACGTTTGTTAGTGATAATGTCAATATTTTGCTCCTCTAACATGTTCGGTCTTGTCTGGTGAGGCAATATGTTATTAATAATTTTCTTGACCCCATGACTCTTTTGTTTGTATCCACCAATGGGAAACAACTAATTACAATTATTTTAGCCTGTTTCCCGAGAGGTCATTGTTTGTGGTATAAAAACAAGAATTCTCGATTTTTGAGTCATTATTCTGTTTCAAGAAAGATCATCAACACGTCTGGTCGCGGTAAAGGAGGCAAAGGTCTAGGAAAAGGAGGCGCCAAGCGTCATCGAAAGATTCTTCGTGACAACATCCAAGGCATCACCAAGCCTGCCATCCGTCGTCTTGTCCGCCGTGGAGGTGTCAAGCGAATCTCTGGCCTCATCTATGAAAAGACTCGTGGTGTTCTCAAAGTTTTCCTTGAGAATGTGATCCGTGATGCTGTTACCTACACTGAGCACACCAAACGGAAAACTGTGACGGCCATGGATGTGGTGTACGCTCTCAAACGTCAAGGAGGTACTCTGTACGGATTTGGCGGTTATATCTTTGCGTTACCCACCCAAACAAACGGTTCCTTTAGGAGCCACCAAATCTTTAAAAGTCATAGCCAATAAAGTGATATTACTCTCGTATTGAATGTACACCGCGCGTGAGGTTTTTCGTTGAAGAAAAGACAGTCAGTAACATTATTAAGCATAATGTGGAAATGTAAGGAAATTTCACAATCTTATCGTTTTCTATTTTTGTATGATTTCGTTGTAGAGGTTCTAGCAAAAATTCTAGAATGTTTTTGCTTCAAAGCAATCAACTGTATAACGGACCGTCGTTGAGGCATGAAATTGTTCGCCGTCATCGTTATAAACTGAACAGATTTGCATTCGGTGTAACGAGGGTGGTATATGAAACACTTACGAAAACCCACCGACATTAAATGCATATATTCCGACTTAAATGTTCACTGATTAATTCACAGTTTGCGCAATTTCTACCCCTCTCTAAAATGTGGCCGTTTCGTGCGCGGTTTATTTTCTTTCCTTATATAAAGTAACCGAAACTCCGCGCACTGATTAGCGCCAATACCCAGAAACATTTCATAGCTGATGCTTAAGTTATATAAGCTTTCTTTTTTCATCAATGGAGTTTTAACCGTAACCTATAACTATTATCGTGCAGGCTGAATCAGGGATCACTCTCTGGCTAACAGTACTTATTCGAAGAAGTAAAGGTCTGCTAATTAATTAATAATAACAGTAATAATAATAACATGTTTAAACAGGATGACCATTTCGATTATAAAAACTGCTATCAATTTGGGTCCTGTATGAAAATAATTGAATAAATCGATAAAAACTTAATTACATGCGAAACTGGGATACATTATATAATTACAATCAACAAAAAAGGTACCCTCCTTATGAACAAAACTACATACAATCATTAAAAAGGGTAGCCCCCTTATAAAAAAAGGCCCTCTTAGTCAACTCGAGATTGACTTTATCAATACATAACCTATCCTTCGACCTAGTGTCATAGTCATGAATATCATAAGTTCGCCGTCAAAAATAATCTGAGAAATAACTTGAAGCTTGTCCATCAAGACAATTCTTGACAAGTTTGACGATATGTTTCTCTCTTCTCGTCTTAAGAGGGTCCCAACCAAGACCGGAAGCCATATCTTGAGTGGACAAATACACAGTCTTTAACACTATCCTAGCAGCACGACTCTGCAGGCCTTCCAATTCTTCTTCATTTTCTTTACCACAGCCATGAAAAACAGAACAACAGTATTCCAAATTTGGTAGTATCATCGATTTATACAGTCGGTTCGATGCTTCAGTTGTTAATGATGATCTAATTCTTGAGAACATCCCCAGTGTTTTAGAAACTTTCTTCTTCATATAGTCAATATGCAAATTAAGGGAAAGACCGTTGTCCAAAACTACGCCTAGGTACTTAAAGGCATCACAGTGTTTCACAGATTCTCCTCCCAACGTTATATGAGCCCCATCGATGTCTTAGCGACATAGTCTCTGGTGGGTGCCAAAAACCATGAACTCAGTCTTCTTTAAATTCAGAATCAGTTTATTTCTAGACAGCCACTCAGACAGATTAATCAGTTCCAAATTTAACTGTAACTCAATTTCCGATACTAGTGGAGCTGAGAAAAAGATAACTGTGTCATCAGCATACATCATAACTTTACAGAAATCAACACAGGAAGGTAGATCATTAATATACAACGTAAATAAAACCGGACCAAGGATACTCCCTTGAGGCACTCCACTTAGGACAGCAAAGGGACTCGACAACTCGTTATCCAGGGAGACAGCTTGAAATCTGTCGGATAGATAGCTTGTGAACCATTTAATCGAATTTTCTCCAAAGCCAAATCTTTTCAATTTGGATAAGAGTTCCTTGTGCGGCATAGAATCAAAGGCCTTTCTTAGATCAATAAAAAAAGCACCTGTTAACTTTCCCGACTCTGCACTTCTTCTAATGTCATCGGTGAAATAGATTACAGCACTCTCCGTTGAATGGTGTTGTCTAAACCCTGGCTGAAATGGACTCAAAAGGTCAAACCTCTCTAGGTACCTTTGTAATTGAACGTTGACAGCTTTCTCCATAATTTTGGACATAATTAACCGGCAAAATGGAGATTGGTCTGTAGTTGTCCATACTTTCATGTCCGCCAGACTTATAAAAGGAGCGATGCTGGCGATCTTCCAATCACATGGAACAATTCCAGTAATGAGCGATAAGTTTACAAGAAATGTCACAGTGGGAGCGATAACCGAAGCGCCGTCCTTCAAAAACCGAGCCGAAATCCCATCCAAACCAATGGTCTTTTTCACTTTTGAGTCCTTCAAGCAACTGAAGGACTCAAAAGTGAAAAAGACCACTGGATTGGACTTTATTTTTAAAGTTTTGGGAAACTGGTTGCAGCACAAAACTTTCATTAGTAAACTTTTCATCAGAGAGACCAAGAATGGTAGTTGGTTGAACGGATTCCAGGGGCTTGGACACAGTGTTCGTGAAAAAGATGTTAAATTTCTCGACAATAGTTTATTTACTAGTGATGGTTTCACCGTCGTCCGTTATTATTATTTGGGAAAATGCTCTTCATAGCTCTCCAAAATGATTTCGGGTTGGCCAAATTATCCTGAATTTGGTTTCTCTGACAACGACGCTTCTCAATTTTCATCCTGTTGGAAACTTGATTTTGTAATCGCCAATATGTACTCCAGTCAACCTCAGATTCAGTTTTCCTCGCTTTCCTTAGGAAAGAATCGCGTTCATTCATAAGCTTTTTTGTTGCAGATGTTAACCATAGACATATAATTCCCGTCAACACTTTAAGGCCAATAGGAGCACGTTTATTACAGACTGATAGAAATAACTCCTTCCATTTCGACCAAGCGGAGTTTACATCCCTTTCGCTGTACACATCATCGCATCCCAGGAACATTTCTTCAAAATCTTCAATGAAAGTCATTTGGTCATAATTTGAAAAATTTCTGCCTTCAATGGAGCGTGGAGGAAGTTTACCAGCATTAATTTTCCTGACCACAACAAGCAATTCATGATCACTTAAAGTGGATGGAATAACTTTAGCAAGAGTAACATTTTTAGGACTATTAGTAGCAAACAAATCGAGTAGGGTAGAGCTAGACTGGTAGCTAGAGTAGGATATATTGTTCTCTTTATATTCATGACTCTTTCTTATATGTGGTGGCTCCTAAAAGAGCCGTTTGTATTTACGCCACATAGGACTGTTTAGGCTTTTGATTTCTTCACGGTCTTCTTGGGCAGAAGAACAGCCTGGATGTTGGGAAGAACACCTCCTTGCGTGATGGTGACGCCAGCAAGCAGTTTGTTCAGCTCTTCGTCGTTGCGGACAGCAAGCTGAAGGTGACGGGGAATGATTCTGGTTTTCTTGTTGTCACGAGCAGCATTGCCCGCCAACTCGAGGATCTCAGCGCTCAAATACTCAAGCACCGCAGCCAAGTAGACTGGAGCACCAGCGCCAAGACGCTCAGCATAGTTGCCTTTGCGAAGAAGACGGTGGATACGTCCAACAGGGAACTGAAGTCCTGCTCGGGATGATCGGCTTTTGGACTTAGTGCCCTTTGCCTTTAGCTATAAAATTAAACGAGACTTACCTGTAAGTTGAAGTTTGATTACGATTCTATCTTGTCATCAGTCCGGAACGAAGGAGTCACATGAGATGCGCGTTGCTAATCAGTATTCAACGTGAGTGATACAGGAAAAAAGGAACGAAGGAGACGGGAGAGAGGGTACAATAAGGGCATGTGACTCCTTCGTTCCGGACTGATGACAAGATAGAGTCGTAATCAAACTTCAACTTACAGGTCTACGTCACTACGGAGTCACATGAGATTTTAAAGTCCTGTAGAACGAACTTCCCTTCCAATGTAAACAGATTTATTCACAGGACGTGATGAGCAAAGACAACACTGTGTCCTAATTTAACAATACTGAGCCAAAAGTTGCTTGAGCGGTATCAACAGGTTTATCATAAAATCTGGCGAAACTGCTTGAATTAGACCATCCTGCACTTTTCATAATCTCTGCTAGGTTTAAACCTTTAGCCTTGCAACTGGATGTGGATGCTGCTCTTCTGCTATGAGCCGAGTACTTCTTGATGTCAATACCAGCTACCTCTAACACTTGCTTAATCCACCTGGAAATGGTGTCTTTGGAGACAGGTTTGAATGGGTTGACATACCTTAACAGTAACTGCGAGTGTCTCTTACGCAACTGTTCAGTGCGATGTAAATGTTTCTTTAGATGTTCAACCACACAAAGTTTCTTATCGTTTGGATAAGCAAATAAATCAATATAGGTTCTAAATGTCTTCCAGGTTTAATCTGCTTTAGTTTATCACATATAGTTATTCGGTATCTCCCGTCCATTTCTTGAATGTAGCTGAGTGACATCCATCTAACTCAAAAATCCCTTTCATGCAGCGGACTTCTTGTAGGTGTTCTCCAAACTTCAGGGGCACCCAACGAGAATATAGTTCAAAACTACTTAAACATAACATTGTTAAACGTATTTTAGTATTTAAACGGTAGATATAGGCATATTTTTATCCCCTAGAAATTTTCCATCTTTTCGGATTTCCTAGCTGAAAGTCTAGTGATCCGAAAATTATAGGGATCAAAACTTACCTTTTCGAAAATTTCAGCCAGAAAAAAGGTTCCCGAAAATTCTAGGTGACCTTTTAAGGGTAAAAATCCGTTAAAAGTGGGCAATTATACCATTTTTTAGATGTTCGAAAACGCTAGGAGAGGCAGACTAGCAAGAAATTTTACAACAAATGTTTCGAAAATTCTAGATCGCAAATCGTCTTCCGAACAGATATTTTCCGAAAATTGTCGTTGGGTGCCCCTGAAACTTGACTCTATCCTTCACAGCAACGACAGAGGAAAGCGCAGAACGCGCTGTGTTTATAGCACTTTTCCCCAGCCCTGCTTTGTATAAAGAAACAATGAATTCAATGCCATTAGTTATTCCAGGCTCAAAAATATTAATATTCCTTTCTCTGCAGTACTGTTGCCATTTGCTAAGGTAAGTTTGGTATTGCTTGGAGGTACCTTCCCTTCATGAAGCCATGAGCACGTCTTTTGCACATTGTGACAAATCATACTGGTTCAATCCCGAGAGGCAAATAAATCAACATCAGGCTCGAAACCTAGTATCTCAAGGGAATTACAAGGAGATACTTTGTCAAGCTGCCACTCAGATTCTCTTTGGTTCCTTGGGATTCAAAATCTGGTTGTTTTTCCCAGGGATATGTGCTGCACTGACCCATATCCGGAGAGCTATGCACCACTCCCAAATCTCCTTAACTAGAGAATTACAAGTATCAGAGTGACTTGTTCCCATATGGTTAATGACATTCACTGCCGTAGTGTTATCACACATCATTGTAATATGTGTGTTGCTTTTTCCCTTAGCAAAGGTCTGGAGGCCTGAACGAATAGCTAACACTACAACAAGAAATCAACCATCAGTTCTCGCGAGCGCTCGTGATAAAAAATAAAACCCGAAAAGAACGAAAAGAAAAATAAAACAACTGTGTACAGGCTAGGGCCCTCAAGTTTTGATTTTGAAATCCTAGCCTTGTCCAAGAGCTGGCTCTTCTGAGCGACGAACAACCAAAACGGACTTTTACAAACCCTACTCAAATTATTCACTTAGTCAGTTCAATGGATTGATCTGGATTGGTGATAGAGTAGAACATAACGGAAGCAGTAAATGTATATAGAGATTTCGATAATTTCTTTAATTTATTTATTGTGTTAATTTCCATCATTTTAGAATTATTTAACAATTAATGAATGCATTTAGTTACAGTTATAAAATATTTGCATTTTTCACTTCACAATTACATTGAAGTTATAATGTTATTTATTATTCATTCAAAATATTTCCCCGATTCTTCTGAAGTTGAAGTTATTACGAGAGGGGCGTAAGGGGGGTACAAATACCGCAATACCGCATCAAAATTTAGCCAAATACCGAAATTGCACCGTTACAAATGGGAAAAAGTTGACGTTGTCAATATTACAAATCCTCCTTTCATCAGACACCAATCCCAACTTAGTCACTTTCTATTTTTATGAATTGACCGCTTTTTAGATTGAATGAAGAACACTTTACTTTTCATGCAATACAAACATTCTGGTACGTTTGCTAACCGTAGATATGAAGAACTGTCTTACCCCCCAAAAAACCAGAAAATGTGCGACCCCATTCTAGTAACTCTCTGAAAATGCGACCCCACTATAGTCAATCCAGTCGTGAAAATGCGACCCCATCCAGCGGCACATCCCCATTAGCCTCTTGTAAGGAAGTAACCCCCGCCCCCCCGGGCCGCCATGCTACGTAGGCTAAGCACACACGAATACTAGTACATTCTATATTCCTGCATGCACAACGAGAAGGACGAGTAGTAATTTTTAGACCACACCATCTTCATAGATTATCTTTTGACACTACGCAGTTTATAACGACCTCACTGACCTCACTATTTGCTGGAATATCTGACTGATCACTTAGTTGATCATCTGGATCGCTCTCCATTGTTTTGCGACCGTCACGAAAGTAGCGGTAAGAGTGGTAAGGAGGTTAACCAAGCTGACTATTCCCACAAGGTCCATGAGGTCATAAATAATGCGACATGTTTACTATCACTGGATAAAAAAGTTAATGTCGTTAATCATATCAAGTATTAACTGAAATTACAAGCCATACGATTTGTCTGCACTGTTTGCGCAATACGATCCCCGACTGTGCAACTACAGGAAGACACGCAGGTCACGTAGGCTATCTAGGGAGACCTTTTAGGATTTGTATCCTGTTGTCATGAAAAAGAAGCAGATCACCGCGACACAACGACTTTTTCACCGACTACCGCGAACTACCGCGACATAAAATGTAAACTTACCGCACACTGCTTGGACTCTGGAAACTGCAATACCGCACTTTAAAATATTACCGCAACACCGCACCAAAAATAACCCAATACCGCAATACCGCAAACCGTTACGCCCCCCTCTATTACCGAGGTCCTGATGATTTTAATAGATGTTTTAGTTTATCTGTTGGCAAACAACAGTGCAGGATCCAGACCTTTAGATAAGGGGGGAGCGGTCTCCAAAAATTTTTTGTGGCCCTTCGGACCTCACTTTGGGCTAAAAATAAGAGGGGGAGCAGGGGTTGGGGGGGCACCCGAGTAGGATAGGAGGACTGTGCATCAGGCAGCCTCATTCCCGCGCTTTCTATGGCGTGTTTGGAAAGTTGCAGACCTTCCCGTCCTTCTCGACCTTCTGCCAAACATCTCATCAAAACGCACTGTACTTTTGTGGCTCAGAAAATAAGACAAAAACGAAAAATTTCCTCCTGAATAAGTTTTGCAAGAGCGCCAGTACACTTGCCTTGGAGTAGTTTGTCCTTTCTGACACTGTGGCGGAGTCGGCTGATCCTGTATTTGGTTCAATAAGAAGGATGTTGTTTACTCGTAGGTAAGTCTTTTATTAGTCCACTTCTGGCCACTCTCTCATAGACACCAAATATCGTTTTGGGATTGGTGGACGCCTTCCTCAAGTGAAATGAGAAGATAGATAGAAAGTCACGTTTCTTTAATAAAACATATACAAGGACCAGACAAAGACAGGTTCCTGGAAAAAAGTACAGAATTTTATTGCATTAATTTATTTAAGATTATTGTGAGCTTGTAGGTTTAAACAACAAAAATTGGAACAAGAATCTGATCTATAGAACAGAATGTTGAAAGTGACACATGGATGGCTCCAAAACCCAAGGGTCAATCATGTATAATATGTACATATCATTAATTTCTTGGCAACTGTTGAAAGCTTTTATTACACGATGGATGGTATAAATGTTTTAGAGATATAACCGTCTTACTTCTTTTTTGTAAAATACATGAATCAGCCAGTTAAGGAAAAAGGCCACTACAAAAGGTGATAGTGGGGGGGGGGGGGACTCCTGAGAGTTCTTCATGGGGATGGTCTGCCGTTATTCCAGATCCAAAAAATTTCATTTTCCACACCCATTTGTAGACCTGGTACCAGCTGTTAAAAAGGTGGATAGCACTACCCACGGTATAAATCTCTTTCCAGTGGATAGAGCAATTATTGGTTTCCCTAATACTTATCCACTGGACAGAGATTTATCTGATGGATAGTGCTGTCCAGCTTTTGAGCGACTGGGGCCCGCGTTTTCTGACCTCGCCTATCCAACAAAAAGATTTCACCATTTTACATTTGCACCCTTTTGAGCGTCATATAGCTAAATGGCTTATATATGGGAGTACCCCCACCCAACGGTGAAATGCCATTGATCTGTAACAGGAACCTGTCTGTAAACAATGAGCTACGGAGCTTTTAAAAGGTGCAAAATCTCATGCTTTTACTGCCCTTGTCACAGAAAACTCCCACCCACCAGGACTCACTGGAGCTTTGACTCTTTACTTTTTCAAAGGATTTGGTACAATAAAGCTACACAAATTCAACCTGTAAATATCAATTGCACATTCAACTTTTGTTTTGTTGAAAAAATTGATCATGCCTTGATTTTCCTTTGAGAGAATTGCTCAATAACAACTTTGTTGTGGAGTTCTTAGCTATGAGAAAAGATAATTGAGGATACCTCAAGTAAATTTCAGCACAGTTTTGACCTAACAATTTGTACTTCATCATGTGGGCAAACTTTGAGACGGTTAAGTTTTTTGCCCGTGGGTGGGAAGGGGGGCACTCCTTGGAATTCTTGGTGAGGGTGTGCTGCCTGGTTTTCCAAATCCTGACCCTATTTCACAGCAAAAATGTCACTTTCCACACCGGTTTTCAGACCTGAACTCTAAAATCCATACCTGTTTTCAGACCTGGCCTTTAGGCAGAAATTATGTCATAATTACTTAGATTAGAGTGCAAATAAAAAAATTTCTTGAATATGCATTTCAAATTTGCACATGGCTAATTCTTTCTTATTCATTTGGAATTGAAACGATAAATATGTTCATACGTTCCCGTAGTTCCCTTGAAAACCATACCTGTTTACAGACCAAAATGGGCAAAGTGTATACCTGTTTTCAGACCAAAAAGGCCCAAAAATCATACCCTTTGGGCGGCACATACCTATATAGCTTATATAAGGGAGTACCTTCCGGGTATTTTTGGTTAACGTTTACCTTTTTCTTTTAGTTTTTTTCCTTGTGTGAATATTTTTTTTCACTTCCCCCCATAACTTTTCCAAAGTTCCTTCCTTTAACTCACCATGCTATTTATTTATTTGTTCTTACGTTGTCTTGCACTTTTCAGAAATGTGAAGGTAGGAGCCACAAAGAAGGCTGTTGATTTATAAGTCAACGAAAAGTCTGCTAGCACCTTTCATTTGTCTGGATTCCATGGTAAGCCAGCAAACTATATTCTATCCTTCTTTACCTTGAGGGTCTCTACCATGTTATTGTAATCAAAATTTTCCCTAGTTTCCCATAAAAAATGACAATTTTTTTCACCTGATATTGCTGGCTCACTGGTCAGTTACCAAATCTTGGTTCTTTCAAACAACATTTCCCAAATTGCCAAATCCTACATTGCATTAATTCATATTCTGCATTTCACAGTCTCCTTTTTCCTCAAGAAGTCAAGTAGGTTTTTGTACATTATGCTTTTGTTTGCCCCCTACAATGATTTAACTATATGCTCTATATTTGGCCAGGGGGGTACACAAAGGAAGGTGTGCCTCTGATGTCCTTAAATCCTGACCCTGTTTAAGACAAGAGACTTTATTTTATGGCCCTAATTAATTTTGTTTTGCAAAGAGAACAAAGCAATTTTTTGAACTAACATCATGAAATTAAATTTTGTTGGAAAATAGTAAATGTTGTACCACAAATGTTGACCACTCACTGCCAATCTTCGCATTCTTTTAAATTATGCCTTTGTTTTTTTAAAGACATGCTTTTCGAGATGCTTACTAGTAAAATTGTGTACCCTGTTTAAGTCTCTTGGTCCTTAACTGACCATGTACCCAGTTCAGAGGCACATACCCTGTGCAATGCAAAGAAAGTAGTGTCCTATAGTGTCGGATAGATGAATTTTGCTATTGGGCTTACAGGAGAACTGTTATCAGTGATGCTCATGAAACATCTTTTCAGGCTAGTTAAAAATAACTTTTGCGCTAGTACATTTTATCGGGCATGTTGTAAAACTAACTTTCTTTGCACCCTGATGCCTGTTTAGTGGAAATAAGGAAGTGCTCCCCCCAATTTTTCCCACTAAAATGCTTAGTGTCTCCCAAAACAATCATTTGAGTTTGTCATACAGAGGCTTCTTTAGGACTCTTAAGGTTTCATTGGGGTTTTAGGACACAAAAGTTTATAAGTTGTATAAGAACAACATACCGTAAAATTCCAAAATAAGCTCCAGGGCCTATATTTTTCAAAGGGCCTTTTTGGGGGCCTATTTTTGAAGGGGCTTATCTTCGGAGGGAAATTTGCGTTTCAAAATCGATTTGGGCTAGCCTTATAGTTGGAAGTAAATTTACTGTTTTTGCTTTGTTTTACTTTGTATTTGAGGGCAATCTTCCAAGTACAAGCCCCCAGGGAGCTTATACTTGGAGGGGCTTATGCATGGAGGGGCCGGGCTTATGTTTCGAATTTTACGGTATACAAGCTAATAGTTTGGACACAGCAAAAAATAATAATATTCTCTAAACAGCTCATTAGGGTAGCGTTTGAATTTTTTAATAATGTTCCTTTTAAGTATTCATTTCTCTTGAATTTTCTTTCCCTGAAAAAAAAAAACAATTTTCCTGGAAAATGCCACTTAAATGTTCAAATGATGCTTAATGCTTTTACATCACAAAACTGCTCAAATATAACTTAATTATAATGCACCAAAGCCAACAATTTGAGCTCATAATTATATAATGAGTTTAAAACTTATAGGTACATATAACATCAGAAATGCAAATCGTGCATCCTAGCCTTGCCTTCCCTAATAAGACTGCTGTCTGAACTAGAGTTTTTCTATTATTGTATCCTTTTGTTTTATTTTGATTCAGTGAGAGTTTTCTTTTCTCTCCCTACCATCATGTTCTCTGAGGGTTTGATTTTCTAATTTTCAAAGGCCTTTCTTGATACCTCACACCATATTTTCTCGTGTTTCACATTACTGCTTAGGGTGTTCCTTAATGCTGTGAGTTTTCATCTTAACCAGAAAAATTTAATATGGACCAGTTTAAATCTGCTTTGTTACAATTTCGAGGGGCTGGAAACATTATATCATCAAATTTAGAAGTTTCACTGTATTTTTTGGCTGGAAGGGTTGATTTTAAATCTGAAGAGAAACCATCTCCTTAATTTCTTTTACTTTCGCTGAGACTGTAATGAAAGGCTGGCTATGTTTTAAGATTCTGTGTTTTTAATTTAATGGGGACAGGATGCCATTACTTGGTGTCTAGGTACAAGTCCAAGAAATATATTCTAGGACAACCGTTTAGGGGTTACTATAAGAGAAAAATTTGTTTACCACGTCGACTATAAACCCCGGGTTGAAGTGAACCGTTATTGGGTTGCCTGTGAAACGCGATATGTAGCTTTGCTCGCAACAAAATCACGGCAACATAGAATTGTTGGTTATTGCTTTTGCTTATGTGGTGGCTCCTAAAAGAGCCGTTTGTTTGTAAAGAAGTGTCGCACTTTACTTCTTGGCGGTTTTTTTGGCGGCAGTTTTCTTGGCGGGCTTTTTGGCTGCAGGCTTCTTTGTCTTCTTTCCTGTAGCTTTTTTGGCGGCTGGTTTCTTTGCTGCTGCAGTCTTTTTCGGTGTCGATTTCTTACTGGGCTTTTTAACTGCTGTTTTCTTGGCTGGCTTCTTTTTAGCCGCTGGTTTCTTCGCTGCTGGCTTTTTAGCCGCTGGTTTCTTTGCTACCTTCTTGGCGGCGGGCTTCTTTGGCTTCTTCGCTGGTTTCTTCGGAGCCTTCTTTTCCTCCTTGGGCACCTTGAAGGAACCAGAAGCGCCAACTCCTTTGGTGTGTACTAACTTTCCACCAGCAACTCCTCTCTTGAGAGCCGTCTTCAAGTGCGGGCCGACCTCGCCAACCTTGTAGTTGGCTTTGATGTACTTCTCGATGGCTTGGCGCGAAGATCCGCCTCGCTCTTTCAGAGCTACAATAGCAGCTTTGATCATCTCACTGTATGGGGGGTGATCAGCTGGCTTTTTAGGCTGAGATGGCTTCTTCTTAGCCGGTGACTTTGCTTGTGCTGCTTCAGACATGATGGAGTTTGAACGATACCTTCGGATACGAAAGAACTGATGCTTCGGATGCTGTTAGCTGATGTAAATTACTTGTATGCGGACCACTGAGGAGACAGCAAACGAACATGGCGCCCGATTCTTCTGTGCTAGTTTTCTGTGGGTTTTGTCAAATAAAGTTATGTAACAGGAAAATTAATCGCTTCTAAAATTAAAAAATTGAACGTTAAGTCTTTGAAGAACTGATTACCTTAAATAAGTGCGAGGTAAGGCAAGTATAAGAAATAATAAATGACCTTTTATCCTTCCCCTTCGATCAATTTTGAAACAATTTTATCTTTTAAGTCATATAACTGTTGCTCCAGCGACCTTTTTTTCTGTGTAGAAACATTTGGGAGATAGGAGAACTATTACACTTCAAGTCTCTTGCTATAATCTTCGCATTATCTCTCATTTAACTTGGTTTAAACTCTCTTTTGTCATCGTAACAAGGACAAAGTCGCTTGCATCCATTCGCAGGGGAGAGAAGTCGAGAGAAGGCTATTACGATCACGGAGTACCATGAGCTGTTGCTTATCAAATCCAGGGAATTTCATTTTCGTCTGAACGTTTCAACTGTTTGCCGATAAACAGGACCGAGTTTGAGAACATTTCAACAAGACCAAACTTCATAAGTTGTTGAAATTCAGGCTGAGTGTCTAAATGGTCACAGGCGGTCAAGATTTTCGAGATCTGATTAACTGTCGGTAATTTTTTTAGTGAGTCACTAGCAAAATCACCGACGGTTCGATGTGCATTTATCTAAGGTATATCAAAATTTCCTTCCACTGGTAGATGCAGCGATCTTATGTTAATACCCAGTGAATATCGATGTTCGTATTATGTTGGAACCATTTTGTGTTTCAAAAAATTTATTGCAAATTTTGCATTTATATATACACCCAACCTTCCTTCTGATTTACTTTTATGACTGGAACATTTTATATTTATTGAACCATGTTGTGATCATATTTTCTGAGGGGTTGGCGGC